GGGGTAGAGGGAGAGAGAGGGGGGGAGGGGAGAGAGAGAAAGAGAATGAGAGAGAACGAGAGAGAACAAGGAAGAATAAGGAAGAAGGTACCAGCCAGACTTATGATTTATGTGTGGCTGTCCCCTGATAAATCCCTGGCACCGCCCATGGTCTCCTGAGCACCTCCAGGAGTGGCCCTTGAGCACAGAGCTAGGAGTAACCCCAGAGCACAGAACCAGGAGTTGCCCCTGAGCACTTTTGGGTGAGGGGTGTAGCCCCACAATTAAAAGGTTTTCAATTAAACGTCTTGGAATTTTCTGCTTGGGGATTCCACTCTGTTTTTTTTTTTTTAATCAAGGTGGTTTCTGCTTAAAAGTTAATTATAAAACTAACTTCACCCAGATGCATTTTTTAAAATTTTTGATGAAGTGAAGTGAGGTGATATCAAGATGTCAGTTTTTCTGCTTTCTCACTAACCACCCCTATCACTTAATCACTTAACTTCCCGTTGGTCGTCGATTTGCTCGTGCAGGTGCCAGTAACGTCTCCATTTGTCCCTGTCGCGTGCTAGTGTAGCCCAATGGCATCTGTTCGCTCCGGGAACATGAAGGGCCTCAAACCGATCGTTCATGACCTTGACGAAGAAGTCTGACCATCTGGTAGGTGGGCGGCCACGCGGTCTTTTGACATCCCGTGGAATCCAGTCAGTAACAGCTCTAGTCCAGCGGCCGACCACCCCTATGGTGAACTGTTTATTTGGTAGGCTTGAAAGTATAATCGGTGACATTCTAAAAATGCACGCAAGTAGCCAAGAGAGTAGAAAAGTGGTATAACCTGAAAAACTTGTTACATAAACGCGGTAGCCTGCTGTGAATTAGAATTAGAATTAGATCAGTGCAGTGCATCTGAGAACTTTTTCTAGGGGAAGAAAGGCTTGGAATGATTGCTCACCTTGTAGTGGCAAGAATAGGGTTAAACCACACATCTGATGTTCAAAGAGTCATCAGGTGTCAACAATTTCATATTCACTGCAGCTCTCTTACTTTAGTCCCCCCTCCTACACATGTTTTATGTCCACTGGAATTAGAGTTATAGAGCATTAAACGGGAGAGGCTTCAGATGGGTTCAGCTCTTAATTTTATTTTTATTTATTTATTTTTGCTTTTTGGGTCACACCCAGCGATGCTCAGGGGTTATTTCTGGCTCTGCACTCAGGAATTACTCTTGGCGGTGCTTGGGGGACCATATGGGATGCCGGGGATCGAACCCAGGTTGGTTACGTGCAAGGCAGACGCCCTACCCGCTGTGCTATCGCTCTGGCCCCCAGCTCTTAATTTTAACACGTGAAAAGGTCTGTAGAACTCTAGTACAATTTTGGTTCTCCCCTTCACTCCTCTCCCCTTTTTCCTCCCCTCTACTCCTCTTCCCTTCCTTCTTTCCCCTTCTCTCTTTCCCTCCTCTTCTCTCTTCCCTTCCCTCCTTCCTCTCCCCTCCACTCTAATCTGTTGGTGCTCAGGGGGCTATTCTTGGTTCTGTACTCACGAGTGACCCCTAGTGGTGTTGGGGTACCATATGAGGTGCTGGGGAATTGAACTGGGGTCAAGTGATGCAAGGCTAACGCCTTACCTCTTGTTCTATCTTGGGAGACCGGGTTCTATGTGAGAGATTTGGGGCTTGGTTAAGTGTATCTGCCAGCTTTGGGGACTGTATAGTGTTGTTTCAGGGAAGGTAAGGTGGTGGGGAGAATGGTTGAGCTGTTTAGTATTCTTAGGGATTGTCTGGATTTCAGAAACCACTAGAGAAGCTACTAACCTATCTAAGGGGCCATTTCTGTCTTTTTCTATCCTCTTTCAGGGATAAAATACCAAGGATTACTACGGAGTTGCACATGTGTGTCTCTGACCTCTGGTTGCTTTCTATACTCAAGGGTTATAGACGCTCCGTGTCTTCTTATATCATCAGAGATGCTCTATTGGTCTTTTAAAACAAGTCTGTCGTGGGTCTGATGATTGTCTGGAAAGAAAATGAAAATAGATCTTCATGAATGTTGCTATTAACAAGACTCTGTACGTGAATGTTTATCAAATTTGCCATTTTCATTTGCCATTCAGGCGTAATGGGTTCCTGGATGAAAATAGAGCTGCATCCTGAATGGTTTTCAGACGGAAATGCTGCTATTAGAGGACATTTTTTCCCCCCTGGCAGTGATGCAGTAATATAACTGTCAGCAATTTACTAAAAAGCCAGGTGTGCCTGGCAGTTGTTTGTGTAACGTTGTATGAACACTGTTGGGGAAAGCAGTGATTCCCTTTTGATATGTTATGTCTCTTGCTGTGAGACTGACTTCACCCCCAGATCTCATCTGCATTTGTGTTGATTTCTCTCCATCTCTGGAAACTTGAGAACTTGCTGGCATAGAAAATTCTTGACGTTTTTTTTTGGGATCTTTAGAAGTCTTTGCTCGTTCCAAATCAGTCTGCAGCATTCTCCTTGGTCCTGCTGACTTAGAACTGACAAGTTTCTGAACTACCTTGTGCTAAACGGAAAAAAAAATACATACAACTAACGTGTATTCCATAGATGCTGTTTGATATGAAAAACAAGACACCAGGTTCATGCAAGATTTACAAGTTTACAGGGGGCTGGTGCGATAGCACAGTGGGTAGGATGTTTGCTGTGCATGTGGCCACCCCAGGTTCGATTCCCAGCATCCTTTATGGTCCCCTGAGCACTATCAGGAGTAATTCCTGAGCACATGAGCCAGGAGTTGCCCCTATGCCTCGCCGGCTGTGACCCAAAAAAAGATTTACAAGTTTACTTCTATTGTCCTTTTTTCTGTTGCTCAGAAAATCTGCACATGGAAAGCTGAAGTCAGTTTTATAAGGTTACATAGCTAGTGCCTGGTGTAGCATACAGCCCAGGTATGCCTTAGTCCAATTTTTTTTTTTTTTATAAATTTTTATTAGTGAAACACCATGAGGTACAGTTGTAGACTTACAAATTTTGGTGCTTGGGTTTCAGTTATACAATGATCGAGTACCCATCCCTCCACCAGTGCCCATCCTCCACCACCACAGGTCCCATCCCTCCCACCCTCCATCCCCCCCTTCCCACCCTGCCTCTGTGGCGGGGCATTCCCTTTTGTTCTCTCTCTCTCCTTTTAGGTCCTGTGGTTTGCAAGAGAGACATTGAGTGGCAATCATGTTTGGTCTATAGTCTACCTTCAGCATGCTTCTCCCACCCTGGGAGGCTCCTCCCAACACCCTTTATCTGGTGCTCCCTTCTCTATCTGAGCTGCCTTTACCCCTAGAGTGTGCGACTGGCCTCCAAGCCATGGAGTAAACCTCCTGGTGCTAATCTCGGCCATTCTTGGGTGTTAGTCTCCTATTTTGTTACTTTATGTTCCCCAGATGAATGCAATCTTTCTACTCCAAGTTTGAAGTTACTCTGTACCTTCGTTAACATTTAGCTCAGTAGGAATGCAAAGTAGGGACTCAGCGTGGCTTGGGAGAATTAAGGAAATCAACCTATATTGACATAATAAAATAAGAAACATAGGATAGATGGTAGAGGATCCAGATAGGAAATCAAGCAGTCCTAAAAAAAATAATAAAATAAAAAGAAAGAAAATTTGTTTGAATGCCTTTCTGTGCATTGTAGCACTGTAGCACTGTCCTCCCGTTGTTCATCGATTTGCTCCAGCGGGCCCAGTAACGTCTCCATTGTGAGACTTGTTGTCACTGTGTTTGATATATCAAATATGTCACAGGGAGCTTGCCAGGCTTTGCCTTGCGGGTGGGATACTCTCAGTAGCTTGCCAGGCTCTCCGAGAGGGGCAAAGGAATCGAACTGGGGTCGGGCTGGCCGAGTGCAAGGCAAATGCCCTACCGCTGTGCTACTGCTCCAGCCCCAAGCACTCCATTTTGAGAGACTCTCTGTAAAGTGTGCAGGGATGTGGTAAGAGGAGGAGGAATCTTTGTGCTCTTTCATTGCCCAGGTTTGAAACTTCCCCAAACTCCTTGAAAGCATTCAGTAGCCTACTCTGTGCCTTGTTAAATAAACAATTCCAGTTGGCTCTTACACAGCATGGGTTTGATCTGTGGGGACCCACTTAAAAGTGTTTTAAGTTTTGTTTTGTATTCCTCTTCTCCGTGGAGCACACATTTCTTGAATTCAACCAACCTTGGTTGTTAGCGGCAAATCGTTTGTGTAGTTGGTGTCTCTAGGTGTGTCTGGAAGGCCAACTGTGATTTATCTGCAGTTTTCAGCCATGAGGGGTGGGGGTGGGGGGTGGGGGGCGGAGATCACTGCTCCAACCCCTCAGGCTGTTGGAGATTCCACTCTAAAAGAGAAAGGAAGCTGGTAGCCTTCATATTTTTCTTCTTTTTTTTTTTGAAGAATGAAAGATCAAGATTTTTACTCTTTCTGCATGGCAAAATTTGTAATAAGACATATAGAAAAAATTACTCATGTCCATTCCCAGAAGCTGTATTTTATTTTCATATGGAAAATGACTGGTTTTTTTTTTCCTTTCTCTTTTTTTTTCCTTTTGAGCCACTCCCAGTGGTGGTTGGGAGTGACTCCCAGCTCAGTGCTCCAGGATTGCTCCCAGCAGTGCTTGAGGGCCAGGAGGGGCTGCTGTGCTGGGTATTGAACCCTGACCCACATATCCTGAGCATGACATAGCCCCTGGATCTAGCTCTCTGTCCCTCCAAATGAGTTTTCTCCCAGAAAAACCTCTCCGATTCAGTAACTGCAATGGACTTGTAGATCCTCTTAGACTCCCGAGGCATATCTAACAAGATCTTATTCTAGCAACTTCAGTGTTATCTTTTTCTGATAATCTGCATTAGGAATTTTTGTTTGCTTGCTTGTGGTCTACACCCAACAAGGCTCTGCGGTTACTCCTGGCTCTGTGCTCGGGAATCACCCTTGGCAGTACTCGGTTTCATCAGGAATGTGTGTCTTCCTTAAAGGGCACCGTTTCATTTGTGTTCTTATTTCCTGGATTTGTTCACAGCTTGAGAGATGGCTGCCCAGTGTGTCACGAAGGTGGAGCTGAATATCTCCTGTGACAATCTTTTGGATAAAGATGTAGGATCCAAGTCAGACCCTTTATGTGTGTTGTTTTTGAATACCAGCGGCCAACAGTGGTATGAGGTAATATTATATACTCACTGTGGTAGAGGGTGTGGTGTGAAAATACTGTATGCATGAAACCCTATCATTAACTGCATTGTAAATCATGGGGCCTACAATATAAGCATAAATAGGTGTAAAGGAATCTGAATTGCTCTTTTGACTTGCTCCAAATGCTAAAAATAATGAAGCCATCTTGTGTGTTATTGCAGGTTTTGAGGAAAGTTTGTCCTCAGAGGTGGAATTTTCCATACCCATATTGAAAATCCCCTTTGCAGTTTTCCTTAGATCTAGTACGTAATGCATTAAAAAAAAATGTGAAAATCCAAGTGCAACTTTGAAGAAATTTGTTTTGTTTTGTTTTGGGTCCAATATAGGTTGAGCGCACGGAGAGGATTAAGAATTGTTTGAATCCCAAGTTTTCTAAGACATTTATTATTGATTACTACTTTGAAGTGGTTCAGAAATTGAAATTTGGGATTTATGACATTGACAACAAAACCATCGATCTGAGTGATGATGACTTCTTAGGAGAATGTGAATGTACTCTTGGACAAGTGAGTATAACATCTGCAGCTGTCCAAATTTTAACCAAAAATGAAATGTTGTTAGCAACAGATCATTTGCTTATGTTTAAAATTTGAAAAGCATTTAATTACTTTACAGGCGGAATTCATTTTACTGTGGCTGACTAAATTCTATGCAATAGAATATATTGCATTTTTCACTGAGAAAAGAACCATGTGTTTTTGTCAAAGCCAGACTGTTAACTGATTTTGAGTTAGGGGTGTCCTTTTGGACATTTCAGTAAATAATACCATAGCCCTAGCTGCATTGTGTAATCTTAACTGATTTCAGTAAAATTTTGTTCTTACTAATTTAACTCATCAATGCTCTCAAGAGTCACAGTAACTTTTTTTTTTTATAAAAATTTATAGTCAGGAATAAATTTCACATATTTTTCCAAATGGATTTTAGCATCCCAAAGCCACCACCCAGTTATCAATATCACTTTAACCTTTCCACCCTCATCCTCCCCCACTCTGCTTATAGTCCTCAGTCTGTGGTCACAGTCTGAGGACTTGTTTTTGCTGTACATTGTCTATTCCCTGCTATGTTTCTTTAAATACTACTGAAGAGTGAGGTCATCCACCCATGTATCAAAATGTAAGATTATATCTTCTCTTATAGCTAAGTAGTCCACTGTGTTTATATTCCACAATTTCTTTTTTTTTTTCTTTTTTTATTAGAGTCACAGTAACTTTGTCTGGTGTTCTCACTCGTGTGACTGTTGCTTCTTGGCATTTCCTGTCCCAACAGCATCATATTACCTGGCTTGTCTCCCCTCCCCCCTATTTTTTGGGGGCCACACCTGGCAGTGTTCAGGTGTTCTGCACTCAGAGGTGACTCCTGGTGGGGCTTGAGGGATTGTATGAGAATTGAACCCGGGTCTGCTGTGTGCCTGGCAAGTGCCCTGCCCACCGTACTATCTCTCTGTCCCTAGGTTGTGGCTTTTTGACCTTAGGAATATCAATTTAAACCTTATTCCCACTCAGAAGACTTCTCTGATGGCCTAGAGTAGGGTAGAGTCCGCTAGACACAGTTGGCACTCTTTCGTGCTTCTGCCTCGCATAGTCATTTTATGAAGCTGCTGAATTCTCTACTTTTCCTGCATCTGATGAGTTTGGGTGGGGAGGAGCCTGTCTCTTGATTCACTCCTGTGCTCCAAACCAAGTCCCCCTTTAAAGGAGCAGTCACTACCGCCCATCCCAGCTGCGGAAGGCTGCAGGAAGGGAGGGTTCATTTTACTTTCAACAAAGTGAAGTTACTGCTCAGATTAGTCTTATCTGAGTTTCTTTTTTCAGTGTCTGACGATTGTGGTATTGCCTATGTCTCAAGAAACATGCAAACGATGAGTTCTAAAACATTGATAAACATTACACGAGAAAAAAGTGAAAGAAGTATTTGCTTTGGGAAGTCAACTCACAATGTGAAGCAAATGATAATGAATTGGAGAGATTTTTCTGGAATACCTAGATTTGCTATATTATTTTACTTAAAATGATCCTTTGCTTGGGTTATATTTGAAGTCACAGGTCAGCTGAAAATATCGAGTTCCATTTCTCAGGGGTTCTGACATTCACCTTTTACCTACAGGGTTTTTTTCTCAGTGATCTGTATATGCTCTGTGAATCTGATTCTTCTTCCGCTGTAAGAGATACATTAACTTTTTTTTTTTTGCGTTTTTTGGGGTCACACCCGGCGATGCACAGGGGTCACTCCTGGCTCTACACTCAGCGGTTACTCCTGGTGGTGCTCAGGGGACCATATGGGATGCTGGGAATTAAACCTGGGTCGGCCACATGCAAGGCAAACGCCCTACCCGCTGTGCTATCTCTCCAGCCCCAGAGATACTAACTTTTGAAGTAGTTGATAAACTAGTGTGTGTAGATTGAATCTGTCAGAGGCAACTCCTTGGAAATATTTTTAGTGGGTTTTAAAATTAATGTTTTGTTTTTCTTTTTGTGGGTGGGGGGTCACCCAGCAGTGTTCACGGGTGTCACCTCTGCCTCTGGCTCAGGGGTGACTCTTTGGTGGTGCCTGGGGAACTCAGGTCATGCCCTGGAACCAACCCATGTCAGCCAGGTGCAAGGCAAACACCTTATTTACTCTGCTATCTCTTTCATCTCTTTAGCACCTATTTTTTTTGGGGGGGGGAGGGCTCCCAAGTGATTCCCAGGAAATCTAGGGCCTCCAGCAAGGATTCTTGCCCAACTGGATGAGTTGTTGAATGAGGCAATGCAGTGTCGCTGAGGCTGTGTGGCTTGGGGTTCCCTGTTGGTACTGAGGCACCTCCAGAGCTTTGGCTGGTGCTTGGGTGACCCTGTGTCGCAGCCACTGTCCTATCTCCCAGCCCCTTCAGTGGGTTTTGAATATGTTTTTTGTAATCTCTTTAGCTTCAAGTAATGGGCTTCATGTTTCCATTTTAAATAACTTTATTTTATTTATTATATTTTTTGCTTTATGGGTCACACCTGGCGATGAATAGGGGTTATTCCTGGCACATGCACTCAGAAATTACTCCTGGCGGTATTCTGGGGACAATAAGGGATGCTGGGAATAGAACCCGGGTTGGCCATGTGCAAGGCAAACGCCCTACCTGGTGTGCTATTGCTCCGGCCCCCAACATTTTAAATGACTTTAAGTGAACTGTGTTTTTTTATTATTATTATTTTTTGCTTTTTGGGGCACACCCGATGATGCACAGGGGTTACTCCTGGCTCTGCACTCAGGAGTTACTCCTGGCGGTGCTCAGGGGACCGTATGGGATGCTGGGAATCGAACCCAGGTTGGCCGTGTGCAAGGCAAACGCCCTACCCGCTGTGCTATCTCTCCAGCCCCCTTTAAGTGATCTTTGTGCTCAACTTTTCTTTGAGGCCATTGAGTTTAAAAATTCACGAGTTGACTCAAAGACAGTAGAAACAAGGGCCGGGGGGACTGGTCTATGGTAGGAAACTTGCCACCAAGGGAGAGGGGGAGCGCAGTTAGGACAGAGAAGGGACACTATGACAATGATAGCTGGAAATGATCACTCTGGACGAGTACTGAGTGTCGAAAGGAGGGAACGGGATATGCATGATGCCCTTTCAGGAATAGCATTACGGCTACAGTGCTTAAGAGAAGAATAAGAAGAAGCATTAGGAGAGTAAGAGAGGGAAGTGGGTGAGGTGTGTGGGAGGGAAACTGGGGACACTGGTGGTGAGAAGTGTACACTGGTGAAGGGATGGGTATTGGAACATTGTAGGACTGAAACCCAGTTATGAACTACTTTGTAACTGTGTGTCTCCTGGTGATTCCAAAAAGGAAGAAATACAAATGAAACATTCACAAGTGGAGGGGAAATAATTCTTGATCACTTTTTCAATTTTGACAGATTGTCTCCAGTAAGAAGCTAACTCGGCCACTGGTGCTTAAAAATGGCAGACCTGCAGGGAAAGGAAGCATCACGGTAACGCATGTGTTTACCTGTAGCCTCAAATGCATCCACATAAGGGACACAAGGAAACCATCCAATATTTTGCAGCTCTGTCTTATTCTTTGTTGTTTTTTTTCTTTTTTTTTTTGGTTTTTGGGTCACACCCGGCAATGCACAGGGGTTATTCCTGGCTCTGCACTCAGGAATTACCCATGGTGGTGCTCAGGGGACCATATGGGATGCTGGGAGTCGAACCCGGGTTGGCCGCGTGCAAGGCAAACGCCCTACCCACTGTGCTATTGCTCCAGCCCCTCTGTCTTATTCTTTGATCCCAAATCATGCCCTGCAGCCACCCTTGCCTGCTGCTGCTCGTATGAGAAACGATTTATGCTAAAAAAGAAGAAAAATACTGTGTGGAAGTGATGGCTCTGCTTTTTTTTGTTGCCCACTAGAGCACTTAGGTGCTTGTCCTTTCCCCCAGGGAAGCAGAGGTTCCCGGTTTACAGAGCAGCTACTTAATAATCTGAATGGCTTGATGTACCTACTATGAAACAGTTTGTGCAACCCCTCCCCTTCCAGCAGAAACTCGCCAGGATGGATTTGTTCAAGATGACTTATGTAGAGGAGAACGTGACCTTTGAACCTTTCTACTCTTTCCCATATCTTTCGTGTTTGCACACTGTGACCTTTCCTCACACTGAGATTTTCCATCGTGGAATCCTGGTCCTGAGCAATTGGCTCTATATTTTCTCTTGTGTTAGATTTTTAACTGATCTAATGCCGTATTATTCCATCCTGTAGATTTTCTAGAGTTTCTGTTCGGGAATAGTTGTTTGGGTTTACGGTGTTCTAGTTTGAGCTCTGTCTGCAAATGGAAAGTCACTCCTTGAAAGGGTTATTGTGATTATCAGACACATTTCTCCCAGCAGCTCTTTTGCTCTAGTTTAAATTTCCTGAGGCACTTGAACCGTCACTTTGGGGCTGCTATTTCTGTAGTACATTGAAGAATGTAAATGGCTTTATTGCTCTTGGGACAAGATAGTCTAGGTGGGCTTTATTTTCCTTCTTTTTTGAGTCACACCAAGAGATGCACAGGGGTTACTCCTGGCTCTGCACTCAGGAATTACTCCTGGCAGTGCTTGGGGGACCATATGGGATGCTGGGAATGGAACCAGGTCGGCTGCATGCAAGGCAGACGCCCTACCTGCTGTACTATTATTCTAGCACCCCCTCTTTTTTTTCTCTTTTCCTTTTTCTTTTTTTTTTTTTAAGAAAAATTTGGAAGTTAGTCTTTAGACCCCACCCTAGGGTGTTCAGAGCAGTTTCTGGTTTGGTGCTTAGGAGTGACTCCTGGCAGTATTGGGGGTACTATAGTTGGTATCAGCCATTCAAACTGGGGTCTTCCTCGTGCAAGGCAGGCACCTTACCTCCTGTACTATCTCTCTGACCATGGAATTTGTTTTTAAATAAAAAAGGTCTTTTAGCTGACATTGGCTTAAATAGATTGATCCTTTTTTTTTTCCATCCATAGGGTTCTTTAACTTTGTTTTACTCAACACTTCTCTTTGTTTGAGAGCTTTCGCTAGTGCTATGCGGGGCTCTGATTTTTCACTGCAATGGGAAAGATTAAATTTGGGTAGTTATTTGGGATGGTAGCTTAATGCAGATTTTGCATATTTAAGGGACTATCTCACATACATGAAAGAAATGATGTCTTTCTGGTACCATTTTCTAATCAACCAGTTTATAATTCATGATGTTAGTATAGATTTTATATGCCGTCACCCAACAGTACTTTGAATTTCTGAAACATTTTCTTAGACTTAACTCATCTGTTCACAGATTTCAGCAGAAGAAATAAAGGATAATCGAGTGGTCTTGTTTGAAATGGAAGCAAGAAAGTTGGATAACAAGGTGGGTAGGTAATATATATTCAACAAAGATAAAGTGTTTTAGCTCACAGTGATTCCTTTATGAGAAAATAATCAAGCGCTTATATTGTTAACTATCATTTGAGTACCATTGGGAGTATTACTTTCAAACTCTGCTCATCTCTCTTGATGTCTTTATGTGTGGTATTTGCTTAAGCAGAAACTGTGTTCCTTATTACGACTTTTTTCAAAACATAATTAAGAGTTTTTCTACTGTAAAGACTTAATGGAAGCATTAATGCTATTGTAGACAGCATACAAGAGAGCACAGGTGAGTCACCTTAAGGAAGAAAGCAAAAATCCCATGTTTCGTTAAATACAGATTTTTCTTCTTTGCTTTCAAAAATCTATTATATAAAAAATGAATAACAATATAATTTAACACATAGTGTAAGCTGAAATCATTTTTTGAGTGATTTCTGCACTTCTGTAGTCTGATGATTAGTTTTTATCATTTGCATTTCAGGAATTCTAAGATTTCCTGTGTGTTAATGTATCTTTATATGTATGTACTGAGTATGCCTGTGTGTACATATATACAGATATACATACTTACATATATATGTAAAGAAATATTAGATTTAGGGGAATGTAAAAGTTTAAATAAAGATAAACAAAATAAGAAAATCAAGTCATCATCTTAGTTTCTCTCTCTCTCTCTGTCACACACACACACACACACACACACACACACACACACACCAGAACTTAGCCTCTGTGTATGTGTGTGTGTGTGTGTGTGTGTATGTGTGTGAAGGACAATGATTGTCAGGGTCCTGACCAGTTGACTCCGGCACACTGGAGTATGATCCCCCAGAGTTGCCGGACTTACTCCCTATAGGAGAGGGAGTGGGTAGGAGAGAAGCCTCTGCCCTGGCCCTCCCTGCACCTCGGACTCCAGCTGCCTCAGAGAAAGGACCACGTGAAGAGGGGTGGGGGGAGAGGCTGGTGGTCAGTCAGCAATTAGTTTATTGGCTCTCATACAGGGGGGTTTTATACATACATTCGGGAGGCATTCCACACGTATATCACATTCACCTCGTCAGGCTCAGTACAGATGTCAGTTAATGATCTGCATTTCCCACTGTTAGGGCCCGGTGTATCAGCACGGGTAGATGGTAACTGTGATGTCCCTCATCCTCAACCAGAGTGCCTACGTGTGGGGAGTGCTGGAGCAAGTCCCTGGGCCCAGTAAACAGGGCCGGCTTTTGCTTCCAGGGAATGGGGATTTGGCCAAAGTCTCAGGCTGGCTGCTGAGACCCCAACAAATGATGAGGGTATTTTGAGCCCATTGCTTGAGCACTGCACAAGAATGCTGAGTAAATTATGGAGAAAGTAGAAATGTGTTTTGTACACTATATACATCTATTCACTGCCTTGTATGTAAAGAAACGTTTGGAATTGATGAAATGTATGTGATAGAGAAGTGGATGGTAAGAAGCCTATCAGTCAAGTAGATGGTCCTCACTCCCCTACAGATCCATTTTCTAACTGGTAACCGCTTTACCCTTCAAAGAATTAGTATAATTAGTACTTTCAATATCATTGATATAAAACTCAGTTTTATGTTAATATATACAGTTCATTATGAAAACAAGACAAGAGAGACTTTATTGATTATGGATCCTTTTGGTTATTGTATTTTATTTTTATTTATTTATTTATTTATTTTGCTTTTTGGGTCACACTGGCAATGCACAGGGGTTACTCCTGGCTCATGCACTCAAGAATTACCCCTGGCGGTGCTCGGGGGACCATATGGGATGCTGGGAATTGAACCCAGTTCGGCCGCGTGCAAGGCAAATGCCCTACCTGCTGTGCTATCACTCCAGCCCCTGGTTATTGTATTTTAGTCATTATGTTTTTGAGAGCTAAGGGTGCACAGGATGTAAGAATGTTTGCCTCAATTCTTTCATAACTCTTGTAGATTTTTAGCAAATTTGCAACTTTGTAAGGAGTTGATGGGATTTAATATTTACTGCTGGAGTATATCTGTACCACTGATCTGGACAAATACATATTAAGTAACATACGTGGAGTGTGGTTTCAAAGGAGAATACTTATTTTTTAATTTTTTAAATTTTTTTAAATGTAGGATCTATTTGGGAAGTCAGATCCATACCTTGAATTCCACAAGCAGACGTCAGATGGAAACTGGCTAATGGTTCATCGGACAGAGGTGAATATCTAATTTTGAAGACTTGAACCTACCTTTGAAATTGTGGTTATCTGAAATTGTAAAACATGTAAAAGTGCTAAGCTGAGTTGCAGGCACAGTTAAGATGCTTCCTTCTGTTTATCTTTTAATGAGGAGATGTTACCATCCTTAAATACTAGTAAAAATTTTACCTGAATTATTTATAATATTGAGACTTATAAAGTTGTGGTTTTTTTTTTTTTATCTAAATCTGTCATTCCTTTATATGTAGTGCATGTATTAGCGGAAACTCTGTTAATCTGTTTAGGTATTATTGTAGACTCATGTATTGTTATAGTATGGTCATTATATTATACTTCATTAACATTTAATTTTGCTGCTCAAATTAACCCTAATTTGATCATAGAGAACTTTTTTAAATGGCTTCTGTATTTTTTTTCTTTAAATTTTTATTAGTGAAACACCATGAAGTACAGTAGTAGACTTCTGTATTCTTTTAACATGCCTTTTAAAAGCATTTTCTTATTTTAATGTAAAGTATTTTCTCTGTTTCCCTTATACTTTCCCTGTTTCATATGTGAAATGAGCCATTTTTGGACTTGGTTTGGTTTGCCACACCTGGTGGTACTTGGGACTAGTCCCCTGTTCTGCACTCAAAGATCACTCCTGGCAGTTATTGGGGGACAAGTGGGGTGCCAGGATTGAACCGATGTCAGCCGCATGCAAGGCAAGTGTGCTGCTGTGCTCTCTCTGGTCCTGGAGCCATTTTCTTAAGGTTTAAGGGACTGCAGTGTCCAGTGGGGCGCGCTTATCATGTTGAGTTCATCCTTGACACTGCGAGGTCCTTCTGACACCAAGCATGGCTGGTTTTGAGCACTGTCATTGGCCAGCATAATGAACAATCCATCCTGGTTGGCTGAGTATCACCAGGTGTGCCTGTTGGAACCTTTGGGGAATTCCCTTAAAGAAAGGCTAGTGGTATTCAAAGACCAAAACCTCAGCACTGCCTACCCATTCTGCCTGTGTGCCATTACTTCCAGGCTTTTTCTCTAGACACAACTGAGGAGAGAAAGAGAGAGAGAGAGTATATGTGTGTGTGTGTGTGTGTGTGTGTGTTCAAATTTTTTTTGTAATCATGCTTTTAAAATAAAAGTAAATAAAATAAATAAACAAAAGTAAATAAAATAAAATATTTGCATATTTAAAAGTTTTGTAATCATTTCTTCAAATCCAAAGGTAAAGGTAAAAGGTAAAGGCCCTCCCGTTGATCGTCGATTTGCTCGAGCGGGCCCAGTAACGTCTCCATTGGAGACTTTGTTGTTACTTCAAATCCAAAAATAGGATTTTTTTGGTAATTTCTTTCTCTCTTTCTTCCTTTCTCTCTTTCTTTTTTTACTTTATTTAAACAGCGTGGTACAAAGTTTTTGACAATACCATTATTTCAGGTATTTCTGGACAATACCGTTCTTTCAGGAATATTGATTCCAACGTTATTATTTCAGAAATACTGATTCCAATACCAATCCATCCTTCCTTCCACTAGGGTCCCTAGTTTCCCACCCACCCCACAAGCCTGCTCCCTTAGCAAGTACTAATTCATTTGACTTTATATTGCTTATTACAATATATATCTTACAACAGTGTTGCTAAAATCCTAGCCTGAGTATTTACTGAGCTGTTAGGTGTGAAGTGGGCCTTCTGTATGATTGTCTTCACTTGTTGATCTAAGTGGACTTACTTCTACTCAGTCTCCCCATCGAATTTTCTTGTTTCTCGTGGGCTGTCTGTGAGCTCTGTGAGGTTTGGAGGTGCTGAGCAGCCACAAATGTGACTGCATGTTTCAGCGGCTCTGGAGCTGGCCCTGAAGCTGCAGGTGTCTCTCTGTCCCTCTGAGATCAGCCCTGAAGCTGGAACATTTCTCAGGCAGTGGTGGGAGCCCCGTATGGGGGTGAAGTACTAGAGAATATGTCACGTTTTTCATAAAACGGTCACGTAATATTGTCCCAGCTGACTTTCACTGGGAGATTTGAGTAAGGGAAGAGGCAAAGGATGAATTATGAAAGTGTCGCAAGCGTCCTGGAAGGGCATGAATCCAGTAAATGTTTTTCTAACTGGTCTTTGAATCTTCATTCTTACAGGTTATTAAAAACAATTTGAATCCTGTTTGGAGACCTTTTAAAATATCTCTGAACTCTCTGTGCTATGGAGATATGGACAAAACTATTAAGGTAATTTGAAATACAAACATCGTAGCCTCTTATAAAATTATTTAATTGATTAGGTAATATTTAAAGGAAGCAGATGATATCACAAATACCTATACATTTAAGTTTTATTTCTATTTAGGAGTACCAAAATAGAAATACTCTGAAGTCATCACTTTGGAATAGCAGAATGTATAACTCAGTCTGTTTACTAAATGCTTAATCTAACATTGTGATTTTTGTTGCACCATTTTTGAAACAAAATTTCAATTTAAGTAGTTCTTTTAGTAAGATTCCTCTGGTGTGAGGATAGGAATTTTCAAGTACGTTCTTTAAAAATAAATTTTTTTAAATTGAATCACCGTGAAATATATGGTTAGAGAGTTATTCATGATTCAGTTTCAGACATTCGACATGCCCTACACCTTCACCAGGGCTCATTTCCCACCACCAATGTCCCCAGTTTCTCTCCCACCCCTCCCCTCCCCCTCCCCTCCCCCGCCCCCATAGCCTTTTCTTCTCCCTCAGCTACATTCTTGGCCTTTGATAGGCCCCTTGTAGATTAAAGCATATATTACTCTCGGACCCAGAGCTTCCTCTGTTCCTAGCGGCAGAGTAAAGTAGTTCTAGGGTATGTTCTCTTGCTTCTTTTCAGAGCAAGATGTAATTCCTTTATTTATTTATTTTTTTGGGTCATACTAGGTGATGCACAGGGGTAACTCCTGGCTCTGCACTCGAATTACCCCTGGCAGTGCTCAGGGGACCATATGGGATGCTGGGAATCGAACTCGGGTCTGCCACGTGCAAGGCAAATGCCCGACCCGCTGTGCTATTGCTCCAGCCCCAGAGCAAGATAAAATTCCTTTAAAGCATTTCTATGGCTTTAGTTCTAGAGTGTCAGGACTATAGATAGGAACAGGAAGCTGTAGCAAATGTCTAAGAAATTTTTTAAAATGTCTTCATAATATAGTTCTTTTTATACAATTTTTAAGACTTTTATACTGGATTCACTTCTTTTTTTTTGCAGGCTGGGGCTGCACCCAGCAGTGGTCGGGGGCTGGTATGTAGTGCCTGGGATCAAACCAGGTCATCCACATACATGGCAAGCCCCCGACCCGACCCTCGCTATACCTAGAGTCATTCTTTACATAAGTTTCTAGAGAGAATCTTATGTTCTGATGCCATCAAGCTGGGATGAGATTTCTTTTTTTTTACTTAAGAAATGAGAATGATGAAAGGCGGAAAGGTATTGGCATTAACCAGAGAATTTAGTGAGAGACACAGGCCCTATCTGAACCAGCCTTTTAGCCAGTGAAGGGCTAGCTGGTTAGACATGTCATCTAGTTTCTTAACTCATAGCCTAGAGAAAAATCATATCTGCATAGTTTTTTTTAAAAGTCCATAGGGGCTGGAGAGATAGTACAGTGGGCAGGGCACTTGCTTTACCTGCAGCCCAACTGGTTTGGACACAGGCACCACTCCAGCACTTTGATTCCTGTCAGGGGTGATGTCTGAGCACAGAGCCAGGAGTACGCTACATTCCTGAGTAGTCAGGTGTGGCCCCACAACAAAACAAAAGAAAAAAGTAAAGAAGGAAGAAAAAAAAAGAGAAGGAAACAAAAAGAGAGAAAGAGAGAAAGAAAGAAAGAAAGAAAGAAAGAAAGAAAGAAAGAAAGAAAGAAAGAAAGAAAGAAGAAAAAGAAAAGTGGAGGTTTTTGGAAAAGGTAAACATAAATATTATGGTCATTGAAAACTGAGGGGCTGGAGTGATAGTACAGAGTGAGGGGTGTTTGCCTTATATGCAGCCGACCTGGGTTCAATTCCCCGCATCCCATATGGACCCCAGAGCACTGCCAGAAGTAATTCCTGCGTGCACAGGCAGGAGTAACCCCTGTGCATTGCCGGGTGTGACCTAAAAGGAAGGAAAACTGATTATTTGTGATTCATTATTTTTCATTTTGTCTTTTTGGGCCACAATCAGCAGTTCTTAGGGTTTACTCCTGGCTCTGTACTCAGGAGTCACTCTTGGTGGTGGTGTTCGGGGCACCATATGGGATGTTGGGGATCAGACATCAGCCATGTGCAAGGCATGCTCCCTACCCACTGTACGATCTCTCTAGCCCCTGAGATTTGTCATTTGAGTCATAAAAATTTGTCCTCAGTTTGTAGAGGATTTTAAAAATCAACGAAAATCTAATTATAAAATAGTAAAAGTAAAGTAAAGTAAAGGCCCTCCCGTTGATCATCGATTTGCTCGAGCAGGCCCAGTAACGTCTCCATTGGAGACTTTGTTGTTACTGTGTCTGGCATATCGAATACGTCACGGGGAGCTTGCCAGGCTCTGCCGTGCGGGCGAGATACTCTCGGTAGCTTGCCGGACTCTCCGAGAGGGGCGGAGGAATCGAACTCGGGTCGGCCATGTTGGCTGCGTGCAAGGCAAACGCCCTACCGCTGTGCTATCGCTCCAGCCCCAATTATAAAATAAATAGTAAAAAAGTTGGTGTAAAAATAATTTTATTGTCATGCTGAATCCAAAATGTCATTTTTTCATATTAAAAACAGTGAGTTCTAGGTTTATTAGATTGGAGAAGCCAGAAAGGTTGTGGGGGGTAAAATTGCTTAAATCTGATCATCTGATTGGTCTCAATAATTTGTTAAAAATGAAACAATGTTTTTGAAACTTCTTTTGCTCTCAGTGACACTCTTAAGCTCTGTAATTCATTGGTAAGTAAGTGGATTTTCTGAGTTTTTTTGATGTTTTTCATTCCTAAAATTTTCTCAGTTTGTTTTAGCGATTGATTCGCCACATCATCATGTGTAGTTTTAATTCTGTATTTCATTGTAATAACAGAAAATCATTCATCCGTGATTCTCTTGGTGTTTGGAAATGTCTTATAAGTAAAGAGTTGCAGAGTATCAAATAGAACTGAATTACTGTCATGTGTCATTGTCATTACTCTAGCATGTATTATTATTTTTGTAAGATCACTTGAATCAGAAAAATAATAATGCATGTTTCCATCTTGCCCAAAATGGGAATGCTTTTGCGTATGAAGTATTGTGTGGTGTGTGTATTATAAATCTCTCTCTCAGTGAGCATGTATATATGAATATATCTCATCTCCACAAACCTTGCTGGTAAATGCCATCTGAAACAAGCAGTGATACTGGTTTTTATTTTTTGAGCTGGTGATTAATTGATAAACATTATTACATCATTTTTCTCAAACCGTATCCAAACTTATTGCCTTTAGCAGGGTAAGAGAGCTTTTCATATATACATAGATCTGTACATTTGTACATAAACACGCACATGTCTTTATGTAATTTATTATAATGCATTATCAGAATTTATAGTTTAAAGATAGTTTTGTATTCTCTGCGTTTTAAGACAATCTAGACATCTGAAGAGTTTTAGGTCTTCATAATTCTTATTTAAATAAAAAATTTTGCCTTATCAGAGTTTGACCTTATCTTACTTATAAAATGGAGTTTCCTATACTAATCTAAAGTTTTATTTTCCATAGTTAAAAGAAACATAAAAAGTAAAGTTGTTACTATATCAAGGTTGTTTGTAACTTTGTTTTCTAGTTTCTCTAGAAGAAATATTGAGGTCATTAATTTTCTTTTTTCATATGACTAACATTCTTACTAGAGACTTAAAAGTTGAATGCATCATAGATATAGGGAATAGTCAAATTCAGAATTTGTCACTTGACTGAACTAATAAAATCCCTACAGATACTCTGAATTGCAATTTTAAATCGTGTTTGGCTTTTAAAAAATTGATCAGTTGATATTTAATTCCTGAATAGTAATGAAATAAAATTAAGAAGTTAATATTTTATTATGATATTCACTTCACTCCTCAAAACCAGATGAATATGTAAATTCTTAGCACTTTAGCTTAATGATTTGTAAATTTTCATAAGAATATAGCAATATGGAGGATTCACATCGGCTAAAAACAAATTGTGTCTTAGCTACCAGCCTTTAAATCATAGAAGGATTCAAAATTGTCTTTGGTTCAGCCTTACTTGTGTTGGTTGCCATAGGAAATTTGTTGTCTGCTGAGGCAATTTGATTCCTCTGTCTGGAGGAGAGAACTTAAGTAGATTTTGTGCACAATGAACATTGTAAATGTTTGCAGAGTGGAAATAATCTGTTTTTTTGAAATTAGAAAGCAGTGTAAAAACATTATTTACTCATCAAGGACAAAGAAACCCCTGGGTGCTGAAAGTTTACACCAACCTTATTTTTTTGTTAATTTCAGCGAATATTCAGATATCCTTGTGAAAATTTAGGCTGTGACTAGAGCTATCAATCTGTCACAAAACAATAGACATTTCAGTTAGTAGCATTTCTTTATTATCTGTTTAAGAAACAAAAAGTTGCTTTAAGCAATCATGGAATGAGAGCCTTAGCTAAGACTGGAATTCACCCAGTCCTATGTGGAAATAGAATAAATATGACCTGGGATAAATATCTGCACTGAATTAAGTACTCTTTTTCTGGAATTTTCTTTTTCATTGTAAGAGTTATTGTCCTCAGAATGCTGCAAATTTGACTCCATCATAAAACAAATATTATTCTAGCCTCATGAGGTTGTAGATAATGAAGCAATTTTGTGGCAGTCCAGTTCAGTTTTCCAAAATGAGTGATACTGCCCTCCGGGGGGCGCTGGAACCACCCAGGGGAGGTGCATCGACTGCTTGCACAATAGAGGGGCACTCTCTGCTAAAAGGTGGCAGATGTCCAGGGGGTGGCTAAGTGATGTTTTTCTTCCTTTCAGGTAAAGGGAGAAAGTAAGCCAATAAATTTGGGAACCTCTGTTTAAATCATCTTGAATTTAATTATACAATTTTCAGTTTGAGGAATACGGACTTCCTGTCCTAGATAATGACTGTATGTAGACATCGAATAGTGGTTAAGTGGTTAAGTTAAGCGGTTGAGAAAGAAGATTTAATTCCATTTTGATTTTACAAGTATATAAAAAGGGGATGGCAAAGGAATGGGACCCTGCTAAATATGGGGTTTGAGCAGAATTTGTGTTCATCATCTGCCTAGCATTCTATCCTGGAACCCCACTTCAAGGGTGGCTAGGACTTGAAAGTGTTTAAGTATTGCCTTTTCAAGTAGTTAGCTCCTTCTGCTTTAAATAGGACTGCACCTTAAATATTTTCACTAATCTTAACCGAAAAACTTCTCATAAGCCCCACTTTTTTTAAAGCCAACCCAGCTAAACAAAATTACGTTGATTTTTTTTTTTTTTTTTTTATTTATTTATTTATTTATTGAATCACTGTGGGAAAGGTTACAAAGCTTTCAGGTTTATGTCTCAGTCATGCAAATATCAAACACATTTCCCTTTACCAATACTTATTTTTTACCATGAAGAACCCCAATAAAACCCCACCCCCCACCCCTCCCCGTCCCTGTGAGGCAGATGAATTCTAGTTAACACTCTATCTGCTTTGATTAGATTCATTCTTTCAATAAAAGATTCACCACTATTATTTAGAGTTCCCCCCCCCCCCCAAATCAGACATGCTAAAAAAGCATTGTGAAGTGATTTGCTTTCTACGGCTGGGTTCAAGAATTAAATGTTGGTTTTGGGTTTCTGCTCTTTTACCTATTGACCCTGGAAGTATTTCTACTGAAAGTCAGATAGTTAAGAAATTGGTTTCTGTGTTCTGGAGTCGTGGCCGTGCTGGAGAGCCGCTCGCGGGGGGCAACCGGTGGCCTCGGTAGGGCGTGAAGGGCGGAGCGAAACGCCCCCCTTCCCATGAGGTTCTAGTCGCCCCCACACTCAGGGCTCATACCTGCTGTCCACAAGGCTCCCATGTGGCCGCCATCTTTCTTTCCAGAGAGGAGAGGGCGAATGGGGCAACACCCTTTCCCCTCCGGCAGACTTGATGGCCTGGATCAATGCATAGTCCGTTCGCTTTTCTGCTCCAAGCTGCTGGGTTTTGCATTAAGTCCTTGTGCTTCTGGGGCCGTGGCCGTGCTGGAGAGCTGCTCGCGGGGGGCAACTGGTGACCTCGGTAGGGCGTGAAGGACGGACCAGAACGCCCCCCTTCCCATGAGGTTTTAGTCGCCCCCACACCCCCGGCTCATACCTGCTGTCCACAAGGCTCCCATGTGGCCGCCATCTTTCTTTCCAGAGGGAGGAGGGCGGAAGGGAGCAACACCCTTTCCCCTCTGGGCAGAAATGATTTCCTGGATTAACGCATAGTCCTTTCACTTTTCTGCTCCAAGCTGCTGGGTTCTGCATTAGGTCATTGTGCTTCTGGGGCTGTGGCTGTGCTGGAGAGCCGCTCGTGGGGGCAACTGGTGGCCTCGGTAGGGCGTGAAGGGCAGACAGAAATGCCCCCCTTCCCATGAGGTTTTAGTCGCCCCCACACTCGCGGCTCATACCTGCTGTCCACAAGGCTCCCATGTGGCCGCCATCTTTCTTTCCAGAGAGGAGAGGGCGAATGGGGCAACACCCTTTCCCCTCTGGCAGACTTGATGGCCTGGATCAGTGCATAGTCCGTTCACTTTTCTGCTCCAAGCTGCTGGGTTCTGCATTAAGTCCTTGTGCTTCTGGGGCCGTGGCTGTGCTGGAGAGCCGCTCGTGGGGGGCAACTGGTGACCTCGGTAGGGCGTGAAGGATGGACCAGAACGCCCCCCTTCCCATGAGGTTTTAGTCGCCCCCACACTCCCGGCTCATACCTGCTGTCCACAAGGCTCCCATGTGGCCGCCATCTTTCTTTCCAGAGAGGAGAGGGCGAATGGGGCAACACCCTTTCCCCTCCGGCAGACTTGATGGCCTGGATCAATGCATAGTCCGTTCACTTTTCTGCTCCAAGCTGCTGGGTTCTGCATTAAGCCCTTGTGCTTCTGGGGCTGTGGCCGTGCTGGAGAGCCGCTCGTGGGGGGCAACTGGTGACCTCGGAAGGGCGTGAAGGACGGACCGGAACGCCCCCCCTTCCCATGAGGTTTTAGTCGCCCCCACACTCCCGGCTCATACCTGCTGTCCACAAGGCTCCCATGTGGCCACCATCTTTCTTTCCAGAGAGGAGAGGGTGAATGGGGCAACACCCTTTCCCCTCCGGCAGACTTGATGGGCTGGATCAACGCATAGTCCGTTCACTTTTCTGCTCCAAGCTGCTGGGTTCTGCATTAAGTCCTTGTGCTTCTGGGGCCGTGGCCGTGCTGGAGAGCCGCTCGTGAGGGGTGACTGGTGACCTCAGTAGGGCGTGAAGGACGGACCGGAACGCCCCCCTTCCCATGAGGTTTTAGTCGTCCCCATACTCCCAGCTCATACCTGCTGTCCACAAGGCTCCCATGCGGCCACCATCCTTCTTTCCAGAGAAGAGAGGGCGAATGGGGCAACACCCTTTCCCCTCCGGCAGACTTGATGGCCTGGATTAACGCATAGTCCTTTCACTTTTCTGCTCCAAGCTGCCGGGTTCTGCATTAAGTCCTTGTGCTTCTGGGACTGTGGCCCTGCTGGGGAGCCGCTCGTGGGGGGCAACTGGTGACCTCGGTAGGGCGTGAAGGACGGACCAGAACGCCCCTCTTCCCATGAGGTTTTAGTCGCCCCCACACCCCCGGCTCATACCTGCTGTCCACAAGGCTCCCATGTGGCCGCCATCTTTCTTTCCAGAGGGAGGAGGGCGGAAGGGAGCAACACCCTTTCCCCTCTGGGCAGAAATGATTGCCTGGATTAACGCATAGTCCTTTCACTTTTCTGCTCCAAGCTGCTGGGTTCTGCATTAAGCCCTTGTGCTTCTGGGGCTGTGGCCGTGCTGGAGAGCCGCTCGTGGGGGACAACTGGTGACCTCGGTAGGGCGTGAAGGACGGACCAGAACGCCCCCCTTCCCATGAGGTTTTAGTCGCCCCCACACCCCCGGCTCATACCTGCTGTCCACATGGCTCCCATGCGGCCGCCATCCTTCTTTCCAGAGAAGAGAGGGCGAATGGGGCAACACCCTTTCCCCTCCGGCAGACTTGATGGCCTGGATTAACGCATAGTCCTTTCACTTTTCTGCTCCAAGCTGCTGGGTTCTGCATTAAGTCCTTGTGCTTCTGGGACTGTGGCCGTGCTGGGGAGCCGCTCGTGGGGGGCAACTGGTGACCTCGGTAGGGCGTGAAGGACGGACTGGAATGCCCCCCTTCTCGTGAAGTTTTAGTCGCCCCCCATACCCCCGGCTCATACCTGCTGTCCACAAGGCTCCCGTGCGGCCGCCATCCTTCTTTCCAGAGAAGAGAGGGCGAATGGGGCAACACCCTTTCCCCTCTGGGCAGAAATGATGGCCTGGGTTAACTCATCGTCCGTTCACTTTTCTGCTCTAATCTGCTGGTTTCTGCATTAAGTCCTTGTGTTTCTGGGGCTGTGGCCATGCTCCAAACTTAACTCTGATTTTCAGGGAGAAAGATTGGGTGGTTTACTTCTCATTGATACGCGGCCGCGCGGTTTTGAGAAAAAGTCCTCGTTCCCGCATACTCGAGCTGTGTTTGTAGAGGCTTCTGGTCACCAGGGTTCCATCTGGGGGAGGCGGGATGCGGCGCCTACTCCAGCTGGAACTTGCCGGTGCTCTCGGCTCTTTTTGGAACCTGTTTTTTCTTTTTTCTTTTCCTCCGGGATCCCGCACCCTCCATGTGTTCCTTCTCTTATTCTGAACGCTTCAAAGATGGCGCTGGGGGGCGGGCTGTGGGCGTGACTTCCGGAATCAGAGGTTACCTGGGAGGTGTAGTCCGGCAGATTTGAGAAAAAGTCCTCGTTCCCACATACTCGAGCTGTGTTTGTAGAGGCTTCTGGTCACCAGGGTTCCATCTGGGGGAGGCGGGATGCGGCGCCTACTCCAGCTGGAACTTGCCGGTGCTCTCGGCTCTTTTTGGAACCTGTTTTTTCTTTTTTCTTTTCCTCCGGGATCCCGCACCCTCCATGTGTTCCTTCTCTTATTCTGAACGCTTCAAAGATGGCGCTGGGGGGCGGGCTGTGGGCGTGACTTCCGGAATCAGAGGTTACCTGGGAGGTGTAGTCCGGCAGATTTGAGAAAAAGTCCTCGTTCCCACATACTCGAGCTGTGTTTGTAGAGGCTTCTGGTCACCAGGGTTCCATCTGGGGGAGGCGGGATGCGGCGCCTACTCCAGCTGGAACTTGCCGGTGCTCTCGGCTCTTTTTGGAACCTGTTTTTTCTTTTTTCTTTTCCTCCGGGATCCCGCACCCTCCATGTGTTCCTTCTCTTATTCTGAACGCTTCAAAGATGGCCAAATTACGTTGATTTTTATGTATTTCTATTATGCTAATTTTAGGTTGAGTGCTATGATTATGACAATGATGGGTCACATGATCTCATTGGAACATTTCAAACCACAATGACAAAACTGAAAGAAGCTTCCAGAAACTCACCTGTAAGTTGCATTCTAATCTTCTCTCTCTCTCTCTCTATATATATATATATACACCTCATAATTTGAACATGAATTTATTATTTTATATTATCTCTTGGTATAGCAAATCATTTACCATGTTTTTACTTTTACTTTAAAATTTGCTCTTTGTTTAGTAATTAGTTAACCAAATTCATGCTTGGGGTTTGAAATTATTATTATTATTTTTATTTTTTTAAATTTCTTTAAATGTAGGAGTGCTGCTATTTATTCAGCCATTGATTAAGCTGATTGAATTGGGCATGAACTCCACTGAAATTATTTTTATACTTAGAATTTTACTTTCCTTTGACTTCAAATAACGTAGGGATTTGATTGAAAATCCTTAATTTTAAAGTTTGGGGTACTTAGGATGAGTGCAAGGTACATGTCTTGCACATGGCCAACCTAGGTTCTATCCCTTGTACCACTTATCATCCCCAGAACACTGTCAGGAGTCTCTGACCTCTGAGTGGTGTTGCATGAGGTCCCAAACAAACAAATAAAATGTTTGGTGTTTAATTGGTCACAATAAATATATGCGACACTGGACAAATGCCTGGTCTTATTGGAATCTTACTAATTCTTCTCTTTGACTTGTGCCTTTATTCAAGGAAGAATAAAAGCATACTTATAGTATATTGAATTCTGTAATAAGAAACTCTCTTTCAATGGTACTAATTTTCTTAAAATCATACAGCTGCTTTAGCTATGTTCAATTCATTATTTAGCATCCCCATATACTTCTAAGAATGCTTCTCAAGTTCCTGTTTTTTAGCCAATTTGGCTAAAAACTGTTGCAGAGCATTTTGTAAGTAAATACATTGCTTCCATCTTTCTTACTGTCTTGTAGAATGAGCCAGATTATTAATTCTCTATAGCTCACTTAGAATGATATGAATTATTTATCAACTGCTTGGAGGTCCCGGCTGACTCATGCATATAGAATTTGCTTTTCAAAATACAAAGATGAAATACAAAGATTGAAAATAATATTTAAAAACTAAATAAATAAGATTACAGTTTACTTGGCTTAAGTAGTTGGGAGAAATAGGGTGGGATTTTCTTGTTTTATTTTGTTTTCAGGGTGCTGGGTACTGAACCTGGAGTCTCACATATGCAAGGCAAGTGCTCTACTAATGAGCAACATTCCCAGTCTGAGAAATGGGTTTGAAACAAATACAGTTGAATTTGATTTTTCATAGGTCATTGGGGTAAGGGCTGGAGCGATAGCACAGCGGGTAGGGCGTTCGCCTTACAAGCGGCCAACATGGCCGACCCGAGTTCGATTCCTCCGCCCCTCTCGGAGAGCCCGGCAAGCTACCGAGAGTATTCGATATGCCAGACACAGTAACAACAAAGTCTCCAATGGAGACGTTACTGGGCCCGCTCGAGCAAATCGACGATCAACGGGAGGGCCTTTACCTTTACCTTTTATAGGTCATTGGGGTATCTCCATTCCTCCTCTAAGCTCCTGTCACCAAGCCTGTATAGGAGAAACAGCCTGCAGAGTTGTATTTTGCAGCCGACCTGCATCAATAAATGATTTAATTCCAAGAGGGCAAGTCTTCCATGTAAATTCACATTGGCATTTTATATAAGTGTTAAGTAAAAATTTAACATTTTGGGTGCAGAGAGACAGTACAGGGGAGAAAGTGCTTGCCTTGCATTCTGTGGAGCCTGGTTTCATCCCCAGAACTGCATTTATTCCTCCGAAGCACAGAGCCAGGGATAGACCCTTAGCAGCACTGAAAAACTGAAAGCAAACTGAAAGAAATAACATTCTGTTTTCTCATTCTTCAGCTTGAATTTGAGTGCATTAATGAAAAGAAGAGGCAAAAGAAGAAAAGCTATAAGAATTCAGGTGTCGTCTGTGTGAAACAGTGCGAGGTCAGTTGACATGAGCATTTATAATGAAATGAGATGAGATCACACTTTGATTTCTTCTGTAACATCAAGTCTGTAACACACAAGCACTTGAATTTGAGGCAGTTAAATCATCAAGTCCCCTGTAGCCCTTAGGTAAAAGAAGAGAGTAGGCAACAGTCAAATATCTTTCCAGTGACTCTTCCCTCAAGGTCCGATAGCGTTTGAGCAAAGTGCAAAGAGTGTTAAGGTTTTTCGTTATCTCAACAAGTGAATCATAGTGGTATTTCCCCAGCACATGATGCAAATGGCCTGACTTCTGGTGATAAACTCAGTTTCAGAGGTTATCTGTGAAAAGGAAAAATCCAAAAGATCTTTCATGCCAGACAAGGGAACTTCTTAGTTTTTCTTTTGACAAAGTCTTCATGTTTAGGGCCAGAGTGAGTGACAGTGGGTAAGGCTCTAGCCTTGCATGTGACCCACCTGGATTCAGTGCCTGGCACTGCATATACTCCACTGATCAGTGGAGTATATCTGATGTAATCATCCCCGAGTGCAGAGTTTGCAGGAAGTCTTGAGCACCACTGGGTGTGGTCCCCAAGCAAAAACAAACAGAATTTTCAAATTATCCTTATGAAAACTTTCAGTGTGTTAGACACATGACTAGCATCTTAAAACAAATAGTGAGCGACTGTTATTTTTGAAAATGTCATTGAAGTAAAATCTTAGAGTTTTATAACACACAGGGACAAGATGCTATGGTTTCCACATGTTTCACTCATGATCTGTTCAGTTTACCAACTCGTTGAAAAAGAAACAAACATGCCAGAGTTGTTCATTTCTGAGCAGAGATTTTATTTTTAACTGTTTGCATTTGAGTTTTAGATTACCGTGGAGTGCACATTCCTTGACTATGTCATGGGAGGATGCCAGTTGAATTTTACTGTAAGTATCACACAGAAGTGAGTGATAGCACAGCGGGTAGGGCGTTCGCCTTACAAGCGGCCAACATGGCCGACCCGAGTTCGATTCCTCCGCCCCTCTCGGAGAGCCCGGCAAGCTACCGAGAGTATTCGATATGCCAAACACAGTAACAACAAAGTCTCCAATGGAGACATTACTGGGCCCGCTCGAGCAAATCGACGATCAACGGGAGGGCCTTTACCTTTACCTTTACCTTTAAAAAAATTAAAACATTTTAAAATTTTATTTTCATAAAGTTGTTCACAGTAATTGATTACATTCAATATTTCAACACCAATCCCACCACCATTACACCTTTCCACCACCATAATTTCAAGGGTTCCCACCATAACTCAAGCCTGCCCCATGGGCGGATGCTAGATAATTTATTTTGTATTGCTTGTGGTGAATAGTATGAGACATGTACGAAAAAGTACAAAAGGCATGTGTGGAGCCCTGGAAAGAAAGAAAGGAAGAAAGAAAGAAAGAAAGAAAGAAAGAAAGAAAGAAAGAAAGAGAGAGAAAGAAAGAAAAAGAAAGTACAAAAGACATGTCTGGAGCCCTAGTTCTCACATATTCCATAGTCCACTCAAGGAGACACCAACCCTGGCCAACCTACAGGGTAGCTCCTCCAGGCAGTGGTTCTTCCCCTCTCTGCTTGCTCTTTCCTTCCCTCCCTTGGTGTGGGTTTTTCTTCCTGCAGTGGCCGTGGTGCTCTTGCACTGACTGCACAGTGCTCAGAGCTGCCCTTGCCCTTGTAGTGTTGTCCTGCACATCCTTACCTCTGGCGTGGTTCCACTGCTATCACTTGGGATCGAACCCGTGGCCTTACTGGGTCCACGCATACTGCTGGCCTTTGACCTCGGAGCCACCTCAGGGCCACGTGGTTTGAACTTTCTAGGTTCTGTTGGAAAATGCTGTAGGAGCTTGTGTGGGTGGCTTGGAACAGGAGGATCCAGAGCACAGCCAACTGGTTTAGATCAGTGCATTTGTACGGAAAACGTTGGACAGAGCCAAGTTCCAAGGGCAACGTGGCGTCCAGGAATGGAGCCTGGCTGGAGCAGAGAGAGAAAAGGCGGATAACATCTAAACAAATGATGAAATTCAGTGTAACAAAACAAAACACAAAGATCTATGTCTCAAGCCCTGGCTATAATGATTCAGGATTTAAGGCATGTAGAGAAACAGGAACAGCAGGTTATTGCTTGCCGAGAGTTTAGCCCCGTTAAACTATGGTGTTCTCAGGCATTGTTAATAGCCATGCTCAAGGCCACTTTCTGCACGCTCGGATGAGCCTCACCCATAAAGGAACTGGCGGAGGAACTCAGGTTTTCAGGACCCAGGGCTGAGATCTTGATGCCTGCTCAGATCAGGACTTGGCCTCCTCCCCCCAGGTCCCCAGTTTTCTAGTAGCTTGGCAGTCACACCCACAAACTGCCTCCGGTGCCATGTAATCTTATCAATGGCCAAGATCGAGAGACTATGAAACAAAGCTCCCGGAAGAGAGCCATGAAGTATTTCCCGGAGCACACGGCCACAAATGACCTCTTATACTCTAGCCCACTGATGTACCTAAAGTAGCACACATTTGTTTGGTTTTTAACATACTTGCTTGTATTCTCTTGTATACAGGCTTAAGTGGCTCCAGAATGAAAGACAATAACATACAACAACCTTCACACACTTCCCTCTAGTTGTGTTGGAAAGATGCTCACTGGTGGGGTGGGTGTTTGAATGTTATCCGTAATGAACTATTGTGAACTGCTTTATGGAAATAAAATGTAGAAAAATCGCCAAAAGAAGTTCTAAGGGCAACATAGTCTAAGGGAATGGAGCCTGGAGCCAAGAGAGGAAAAGTGTATAACATCTGAACAAATGATGAAATTCAGTGTAAAAAAGCAAAACAGAACCCAAAGATCTATGTCTCAAGCCCTGGCTATAATGATTCAGGATTTAAGGCACGTAGCGAAACAGGAACAGCATGCTGAGAGTTTAGCCATTAAACTGTGGTGGTCACAGTGGTGGTCACAGTGGTGGTCACTGTGGTGGTCACATTGTTAGGATATACATCTTTTGGTTTTCACCTCCTGATGTTTTATTGGACATCAAGGGTGGGTGTCTGCGAAGGCATCATTCTAATTGTGGCCCGATGGTTCTCTGGCAGGTGGGAGTGGACTTCACTGGCTCCAACGGTGACCCACGCTCTCCAGACTCCCTGCATTACATTAGTCCCAATGGGGTTAATGAGTACCTGACGGCTATCTGGTCCGTGGGCCTCGTCGTTCAAGATTATGACACGTGAGTACGGCTGAAATCTCTCCTCCCCATCATTCCCCAGAGAGCACAGTTTCTGTTTCATCCGCTGGTGCCCTGATGAGCTCGGTGGGTGAAGTTGGTATAGGAGAGAAGACGCTTCCTCAAACATCCTTCCCTTCCCTTGATCATTTCTCTGTGCCTCTGATTATGGCAGTGGTTACCTCTGACCTTTCACTTCCGGCCCTCATCAGCTCTAGAGAGCTTGTCTGGTGAATGACCACATCAAGTCAGAAGCTCTTGTTTCTTCAACCTGGCTCTTTTGGAGTACACTCATGAATGAAAACCTATGTATATGATTAAAGTCCAGACTTCCTATTTTGTCAACTACAGTAGATAGTTTTTGTTCATATCAGTTTCCTAAGGCAGTCATTGCCAAGCGATTTTCTTGAAAGTGATTTTTAGCCATCATCTAAAAGTACCGGACCTTAATTGCTGTCAAATATTGAAAATGGGTTTTCAGTGGATGGATTTTGAATCGATTTAAGTAGTTTTTCTTATTTGGGGGCCTCTGTCAGGGCTACTCTAGGGACTGTGAGTACTTTCTTCTGCTGGGAAGTGAACCCGTCATTCCCACATTAAAAGTGTGAATTCCTGCTCTTGTGTTCCCTGCTCTCCTAGAACTTAAAAAGGTTTGCCAAAGGGATGGGAGAGAGTCCAGAGGACTCTAGTACATGCTTTGCAAGAGGGAGCCCCGGGTTCAGTCTTCAGCACCACATGGTACCCTCAGGTGCCAACAGGAGTGACCACTGAGCACCAAACCTGTGAGGACTTTGAGAGATAACACATATCCCTGCCAGCATGGACGCCCCTCACCCTCAAAACAAAAACAAAGGTTCATAAAACATTAGGGATAAAATCCACACAAGAAGTGTTTTATTCTGGAATCTGATTGGAAACTAGTATAAATATTTTAACTTCTTTTTCCTATGATTTTATAATAAAAAGTTGTTACACAGTCTTGGAGTTTCCCTTTAAACTGTGACGACATTTAATGAGGCACAATTTTCAGGCAAATACAAACTTAAAGATGGAAATTTGGTTTTCTGCCTCATAGAGTTTAAGGCGAGTCACTAAGTAACAATCCAGATGAATGTCATTATAGACCACTGTGATCCAAAATAAAGATAATCAAGATAAATGTTCAGCTGTTAAAAACTTCCACTTTTTAAAAAAATTTTCTTTTCAGTGATAAGATGTTTCCAGCTTTTGGTTTTGGGGCGCAGATACCTCCACAGTGGCAGGTAAGAGAAAAATCCTGTTTTAAAGGTTTGCTTTCTAAAAAAGCAAAGTAAGCACCATCAGTCTTTTTTTCATTTATGACAGGTTTCACACGAATTTCCAATGAACTTTAATCCGACCAATCCTTTCTGTAATGGTAAGTTAGAAAAAAAAATATGCTTACAATTTTTTTTAATTTAAAAGATTTTTAAATTTTATAAAATAGTTCACAATATTTGATTACATTTAATTTTCAAATGCCAATCCCACCACCATTACACCTTCCTATCACCCTATTTTGGATGTTTTTATCCCAAACCCCAATCCCTGTCCCAAAGCAGAACCGAAATAATATATTTTGTATTGTTTGTTATGAAAAACCGCTGAAAATGCTACAAAAAAAAAAGTATCCTTAGAGAAAAGAGGGTGAAGATTGTTTTATTTCACCCAGGGATCATTAAGCCCTTCTATAAGAGATCACTAGCATGTTGTTAAAGGTTTGTTTGGTTGTGTAAAAAAAGCTATTTCCCTCTTAGATTGGTTGCCTCCTGCTTTGAACCCCATCCAGTGTGGTGCAGTACTCTTGGAGTATGGGTAGGGTGTGTGGTATGAATTGTCACAGGGTATGAAGTGTCCAGAAATAGGTTCACTTGTGGGTGAGGCTCAGCCCGGGCATGTGGAGATTGGCTGTGAGTGTGGCGGTGGTTGAATTCTTGAGGTTTTTGGCTGCCAGGGCTGGGTCCCTTGGGGCAGGGAGGGCTCTCACTCTCCCCACCCCCCAGGATGCCCCAAGTGAAACAGCCCGGCACCTGTCCATCAGCATGGTTATGGCCAGTGTCATCTTCTTACAAATTTTATTTTATTTTATTTTGCTTTTTGGGTCACACCTGGCAGTGCACAGGGGTTACTCCTGGTTCTGCACTCAGGAGTTACGCCTGGCGGTGCTCAGGGGACCATATGGGATGCTGGGAATCGAACCCGGGTCGGCTGTGTGCAAGGCAAACGCCCTACCCGCTGTGCTATTGCTCCAGCCCATCTTCTTACAAATTTTAAAAGGAAGGCATCATTAGTCTTTTTAGCTCAAATCCTCTAAGTTTCTTATGTCCTATTTAACTTTTTGTTGCATGCTATGAAAGAATCGCACCAAGTTGGTGATAGTTGAAAATGGTGATTCTGGGTGCAAGGAACTATTTTGATGTTGAAGGTTAGGGCTTCTGCCAAGGGTTCTCCTGGGTTTAAGAGGTTCTGCTTTGACAGAACAAGACTTTCTTTCTTTTTTTAAAATTTAAACACATTTTTATTTTAATTTAAACAAAGGTTTTCGTGATTAGGTTTCAGTCTTACAGTGTTCAAGCACCCATCCTGTCACCAGTGTCTTCTACCCTCCACCAATGTCCCCAGTTTTCCTTCTGCCCGCTAGACTTCCTCAATGGCAGACACTTTTTGTTTTTCTAACGTTTTAGGCACTCTGGTTTGCATTTTGTTACCAAAAGGATAACATGTATCACTTTGCCTCCTTTTTACACCCCTTTCTTCTCCAGAGTGATCACTTTCCACAGTCACTATCACAGTGGACCCTTCTCTGGTCCTAATCACCGGTCTCACATTATGGCACGCTTCCTATTAAGGACCAGTCCTCCTGGCCTTTATTATGTCTTTCTTTCTTTCTTTTTTTTTTTAAATTAGTGAAACACCACGAGGTTCAGTTGTAGACTTACAAACTTTTGTGCTTGGGTTTCAGTTATATAATGTTGGAGTACCCATCCCTCCGCCAGTGCCCATTCTCCACCACCACGGATCCCAGTATCCCTCCCACCCCACATCCCCCCTCCCACCCCGCCTCTATGGCAGGGCATTCCCTTTTGTCCTCTCTCTCCTTTTGGGTGTTGTGGTTTGCAAAAGAGGCATTGAGTGGCAATCATGTTTGGTCTATAGTGTACTTTCAGCATGCTTCTCCCATCCTGGGAGGATCCTCCCAACACCCTTTACTTGCTGCTCCCTTCTCTATCTGAGCTGCCTTTTCCCCTAGCATGTGTGGCTAGCCTCCAAGCCATGGAGTGAGCCTCCTGGTACTTATCTCAGCTATTCTTGGCTGTTAGTCTTCTATTTTGTTACTTTATGTTCCCAGATGAATATAATCTTTCTATGTCTGTTCTTCTCTTTCTGGCTCATTTCATTTAGCATGCTACTTTTCATGTGGAACCAGTTGTATATAAATTTCATGACTTCATCTTCTCTAACAGCTGCATAGTACATCTATATTCCATTGTGTAGTTGTACCAAAATTTCTTCCCCCCCCCTTTTTTGGGGGGTCACACCCAGCAATGCTCAGGGCTTACTCCTGGCTTTGCACTCAGGAATTATTCCAGCAGTGCTCAGGGGACCATATGAGGTGCGGGGGATCGAACCTGGGTCGCCCACGTACAAGGCAAACACTCTACCCACTGGGCTATCTCTCTGACCCCGTACCAAAATTTCTTTAACCAGTCATCTGTTCTCGGGCACTTGGGTTTTTTCCAGATTTTGGCTATTGTGAACAGTGCAGCAATGAACATACAAGTGCAGATGCCATTTCAACTATACTTTTTTGCCTCTTCGGGATATATTCCCAGGAGTGGTATTGCTGGATCAAATGGGAACTCAATTTCTAATTTTATGAGAATTGTCTGTACTGTTTTCCAAAAGGGCTGAACCAGTCGACATTCCCACCAGCAGTGAAGGAGGGTTCCTTTCTTGCCATATTCGCACCTACACCGGTTGTTTTAGAACAAGACTTTCTTAACCTTGGAAGTCGATCAATTGCAAATAATTATTGTTTTTACATAAAATTTGTCTTTTAAAAATCTTCAGTAAATAAGGTAAAGGCCCTCCCGTTGATCGTCGATTTGCTCGAGCGGGCCCAGTAACATCTCCATTGGAGACTTTGTTGTTACTGTGTCTGGCATATCGAATACTCTCGGTAGCTTGCCGGGCTCTCCGAGAATGGGTTACACAAATACAGGCCTTTTGAAATGTTTTATCTATGTAGTGAAAAATCAGTAAATGACTTGTTATTCACATAGTAAAAATGTAAGTAGCTGAGTTCACGTCACCTAAAGATAGAATTATGTTCCAGTGGTGACTTTTCACTTTTTCCTTGTGCAGAAAGCAAGAGTTTTTTTTTTAATTTCACTTTTTTCTTCATGCCTCAAATAATCAAGTGCTTCCCAGTCAACCTAAAATATGAACTCTCCCACTAAATTGAGCAGTTTGAAGAACCGAGAGCAGAGATAGAAGCTTAAAATTAAGACAGCTCATTTATTGAGGGTGACTAAGATATTCTATTGTAAAACGTGTGGAATTCTAATAGAAAGGGGTGTTCTTTCCTTATCTTCCTAAATGATTCTTATAAAAATAGAAAAGCAGGAAGCTTACCATGGGAGGTGGCAGGAGGACACAGGGATAGTGTTGGAGAGTGTGATGCTGGAATGTATGATGCAGGAAACCCTGCCATTAAGAGTCTTATAAAACACTGTCTGTAGTACTGTCCTCCCGTTGTTCATCGATTTGCTCGAGCGGGCACCAGTAACGTCTCCATTGCGAGACTTGTTGTTACTGTTTTTGGCATATCGAGCATGCCATGGAGAGCTTGCCAGGCTCTGCTGTGTGGGCAGGATACTCTTATAGCTTGTCGGGCTCTCCGAGAGGAGTGGAGGAATCGAACCTGGGTTGGCTGTGTGCAAAGCAAATGCCCTACCCACTGTGCTATCGCTCACAATACCTAAAATAATTTTTTTTAAGTAAGAAGAGCATAAACATTATATTGGAGTAGTATTAGAATGTCCTTCCTTTTTCCCAAAACATTTTGCCCCATCCTAATTTTCTTGTGCCTTTGATATACCTCTAGAAGTTGGGTGTGACCTTTTTTCCCTTAGCCACTTGGGTATTCGAGAGTGTTCACAAAAAATATTTTTTGGTGCTTATATAATAAAATCAGAACAATTTTTAGAATTTGTTGTAATTTGATGACTTGTATCATATGATCACTTTAAGATTTCACTTTCTCTCTGGGTAGCCTGAGGCCGCCTTTGGGCTACCTCCTACTTTTGATTTACAGTCTGGAAAAAAGACTGTGAGGTTTTAGACAAAGGGAAATGTAGAGCCTTTATTTAAGACAAGGAATTTGTTTCTTTCCCTAATAATTAATTGAACTTAGGGTGCCAAGAAGTAACTTGTTTTACTTAGTCCTTCAATGCAGATAAAAGGATATGAGTACTATTCAATTCTAGTTATGGAATTGGAGGCGCTTAGTACTTATAAAGACATATAATTACTAGTTTCTGTTCAGATTGAAAAGCCAGCTAAGTTGAGAAAAATGGAATAAAATATTATTGCTGCAGTTTGGGTTGATTTTCTATCACTGTGTCATTGCAGTGAGATCCTGTTGCTGTTCTGTGTTGTTACTTTTAGACACTCATTAAAGCCCGACATCTGATCAGTTACATTCTCAAAGGTTGTTTTAACACCACTTAATGCCTGACTTCAAAGTGACTAAAATGTACCTTACATTTTAAGATCAAATTTGTCTTGGCAAGCATTTAAGTCAGACTTATAGTTTTCCTTGAAAATATTTTTAAAAAATTTTTTATATTATTTTATTTATTGAGGATAAATCCTCTTCCAGAATTATATTTTAAGTTTAAACCAGTATTTTTGTAGGCTCTCTGTTCATAGATGCAGTAGTTTTCCATTTAATAAATTACTTCTTTTTGCCTTTAATCATAACCTATATGCTAAAGCAATTTTAAAAAATGCTTCTTTGTCCATCAGAGTCCCATTCCCGAAACACATTGAAGTAAAGCAATCTGACAGTTCTGAGGTAGCCTCACGAATTATTTGGATGGCAGGAAAGCAGATGCCTTCTATTGTAGAGTTTGTAAGTTTTCATGATGAGATATGGCACCAAATTTTATAATACAAACCTTAGAAGTCTAATATTAGAGGAATATTCTAATTTTTTAAATTTGCTTTGGCTGGAGGGATAGCACAGTGGTAGGGCGTTTCCCTTGTGTGCAGCCAGCCCAGCTGAGCCAGGTTCGATTCCTCCGCCCCTCTTGGAGAGCTCGGCAAGCTACCGAGAGTATCTCGCCCGCACGGCAAAGCCTGGCAAGCTACCCATGACGTACTTGATATGCCAAAAACAGTAACAACAAGTCTCACAACGAAGACGTTACTGGGCCCGCTCGAGCAAATCCATGAACAACGGGAGGACAGGGACAGTGACAGTGTTTTGGGGTCAAACCCAGTGGTGCTGTGGCTCAGAGTTTACTCCTGGCTCTGAGGTCAGGGATCATTCCTGGCAGAACATGGGTTACCATATGTGATGTTGGGGATCAAACCCAGGCTGTCTGCATGCACAGAAAGCCTCTACCCACTAGAATATAGCTCCAGCCCAGGAATTTTTGTTTTGTTTTGTTTTGTTATGGGGTCATACCTATTGGTGCTCAGGGTTTTCTCCTCTTGACTCTGTGCTCAGGGGTCACTCCTGGTGGTACCTAGGGGACCGTATGGGATGCTGGGGATGGAACCTGGGTTGGCTGCATGCAAGGCAAGTGCCCTCCCCACTGTACTGTCCCTCCAACTCCAGCCCAGGAATATTTTGATTATTTAAACATTTAAGGCTTTATATGTTTATATATGTATACATTCAAATGTTTAAGTGTTTATAGATACATATATGCATATGTACATATATTTCTTATAATATGTATATTATTATAATAAAATATAAGAAACAAAGCTTCTTAAACTGTGTCTGATGACCTCTATGTGGTTGTAGAACTGAATGTGGGCATTGCGGGAGGGTGAAGTCTTCAGAAATTTGGCAACAGTAAAATGTTTCTGAACTGCAACAACCTCAAATTAATTCAAAATCAAGTATATAGTAACTGAGTAATAAATCTGAGGTATTTCTGGCATTTCTCACCCGTGTCGCACTGGGTGATTCAAGAAGAGGTCACAAGTGGAAAACAGTTTAAGAAGCAACCCAGGTAAATAATAAACAATTAAATGTGCCTTGAACATTTATTTATTTATTTATTTTGTCTGTTAAGGAATACAAGGTATCATAGAGGCATATCGAACCTGCCTTCCTCAGATAAGGCTCTATGGACCGACGAATTTTTCTCCAATCATCAATCACGTAGCCAGATTTGCTGCGGCCGCCACGCAACAGCAGACAGCTTCCGTAAGTGCTCCATTGCCGGGGACCACGAGGGCATAGACTGGGAATTGTTCCTGGTACCATTTTCCTGTTTGCTTGGTCTGCCAACCTAGGAGCACAGGACAGGAAGCAATGATGTAGTTACTCTTAGTTAGAGAGGGTTGTCATTAAATCAGTGTGCATTAAAAACCAGCTCATATTAAATAAAGAAAGCAACCCTTATGCTCATACTCAGGAATAGTTTCTCTATCTTTTGAGGGGCTGGGGGGATTTGGGCCATACCTGGCATTGCTCAGGGCTTCCTCCTGGCTCTACGCTCAGGACTCCCTCCTGGTTCCACTCAGGGGATCCAGGGGATTGAACCAGGGTGGGCTGTATGCCTAGCAAGTGCCCTACCTGCTGTTCTATCCTCCAGACCTGAAAAGTTCCTAAAGCAATAAAAGAAGGACAACGTGACTCTATTAGAAATGTTTGGATTAAAGAACTGTTTCCTACTGGTCGTTGGGTAGCAGAGCCTCTTAGATTCAGTATACTCAGACAAGAGGTAGGGCAGACTGCTGCACGCTGCAGTGGAAAGGGTGAAATGAGATGATCCGGGTCAAGTGTACTGTGCCCGGGGTAAGAGTCAAATTCAAGACTCTTAGAAATCGTATTCCTATTCCAGACTGAAATGGCTCAGAAAAAATAGAGCAACATTTGGGTCTGGAGAGATAGCACAGCAGGTAGGGCGTTTGCTTTGCACGCGGCCGACTCGGGTTCGATTCCCAGCATCCCACATGGTCCCCTGAGCACCGCCAGGAGTAACTCCTGAGTGCAGAGCCAGGAGTAACCCCTGTGCATCGCCAGGTGTGACCCAAAAAGCAAAAAAAAAAAAAAAAATAGAGCAACATTTTACATTTTTCTAAAATGATTATCAACGATGATGCGATTGGGCGGTGAGAGAATTCCCTTGAGCCAGTGGGTTTTGATCTTTCACACCTGCACACTGGCACTCATTGCCCTCACTGAGAAGGGAGTTAAAAGCCGTCACCTTTACCTCACACCCATTTGGGGGGCTGGGACGAGGACTCAAAGGGCTGGAGTGCATGCAAGAACTCTGGGTTCCATCTCTGGAACTGTTTGATTTCCTGACCAGCACAGGTAGTAGTTACCACCAACTCCCCAGATTCATTTTAGAAAAAATAAAGAAAATGGTGGGGTCGAGTTTTGCCACATCTGACAGTGCTCCAGAGTTACTCCTGACTCTGTACTCAGGAATTACTTCTGGTGGCACTTGGGGAGCCATGCGGCTATGCTAGGAATCGAACCTGGTTTGGATACGTGCTGGCAAGCGCCTTACCCACTATACTATCTCTCTGGCTCCTTAAAAAATTGTATTTTGATCTGTGAGTCAGTTCTGGTTTTTTCCATAGTGGGTGTTTAGGGGACCATATCTCGTGGTGCTCGGGATCTACTCCTGGCTCAATGCTTGGGGTTCATTCCTGGCGGTGCTTGAGGGATTCTCTGCAGTACCAGAGGTCCAACCTGGGCCTCCCGCAGCACATACTTGCTCTTCAGGGAATAGTTTTGCTGGAGCCAGAAAGTAGGAAAGTGAGTCAGGCATTTGCCTTGCATGTAGCTGACCCATGTTTGATCCCTGGCGCTCTGCGTACCATAAGGAGTAATCCCTGAGAGAGTCAGGTGTAAGCACTGAGTACTGCCAGGTGTGGCTCTCAAACCAAACCACTGTAGCACTGTCCTCCCATTGTTCATCGATTTGCTTGAGTGGGCCCAGGAACGTCTCCATTGTGAGACTTGTTGTTACTGTGTTTGGCATATTGAATACATCATGGGTAGCTTGCCAGGCTTTGCCGTGTGGGCTAGATACTCTCGGTAGCTTACCAGGCTCTTCAAGAGGGGTGGAGGAATCGAACCCAGGCCTGCCGGGTCAGCTGCATGCAAGGCAAATGCCCTACCTGCTGTGCTATCACTCTAGCCCCAAACAAAACCGTAATAAATAATTAAAAAAATAGAATAGCGGATTGCTTTCTTGGCATCACCTATACTCCAGTTACATCAGAGTATTTATTTCTCTATCCCTACTAAAGTTTTGGTCTTTTGATATGTAGATGCCTTGTTTCTCCGTGCATATTGCCAACCCTATTTATCGCACTTTTAATGAGCCTGTCGTTTTTCTATCAAGAAATTTCCTTGTCATCAGAGAATCTTAGACTATTTCCTAAAGGTGGTACCCTGGGTAGAGATTGGCAAGGAAAATGAGCAAGAAAGAGACTAAATGAGTCATTAAGAGAAGGATGTCATTAATCATCTCTTTTATTGTGTGGAAGTTCAGCCTGCTAAGTGACTGTAATTTTCTTCCCCGGCAGCAATATTTTGTGCTGTTAATCATTACTGACGGTGTGATCACAGACCTGGATGAAACCAGACAAGCAATAGTCAATGCTTCCAAGCTCCCCATGTCCATCATCATCGTCGGAGTTGGGGGTGCCGACTTCAGTGCCATGGAGTTTCTGGACGGTGATGGCGGGACTCTCCGTGCCCCCTCAGGGGAGGCGGCCATCAGAGACATCGTCCAGTTTGTGCCTTTCAGACAGTTCCAGAATGTGAGTACTGTTCCTCCCTATTCTTACACACTAACTCTGCACACAGGTCTTGGCCAAGAGTTCAGGGATGTATGAACTTACATTTGAGGGGTGTCAGCTAGATCTGATGGGTCTGCCTCAGGCTGCAGACTTGTGCGCTTCTGACAGTCTGTATGGTAAATTGTGGACAGTGATATCACTGTGCATAGATCTGAAGGTATCTTTTATCTTTATTCATGGAGCAACAGAAAAAACAGTACAACTCCATGATCAGTTTAACAACCAAAAGTTGACTTGATGAGAAGCTCTCAACAAACTGTTTCATTCAGTTTACGCCAATGGTAATAACCATCTTGTAAAACTAAAGAACTGCAGATAGGATACTGTTAATGATTTCATCAAGATCCATCACTACAGGGATCCTTCATGTTGCCCTTTGTAGCCAAAAGTCATTTTTTTCCCCATGTTATGTCTTCCACAACTCCTAACAGATATGAATTTGTTTCTCCCATTTGTAGAATTTCAAAAAATTTTTCTAATTTTTATAAAGTTGTTCACAATAATTTATTGCATTCAATATTTCAACACCAATCCCACCACCATTATTTTGAATTTTCCCACCACCATCCAAACCTTCCCCAAATGCAGATGCTAAATAATTTATTTTGTATTGTTTGTTATGAATAGTGCACTAAAAATGATCCAAAAAATGTTTCCTTAGGAGAAAGTTTGTGAAGATTGTTGTATCTAACCCTGGAGACATTAAGCCCCTATATAAGCGATCACTAAAACGTTGTTACATGTTGAGACTTCTGTTATATATATATATATATATATATATATATTGCTATATATATATATTCTGTGATATATATATTGCTATATATATATTCTGTGATATATATAGTGGTGTGGAATATGAGAACTCCAGGAATTCTAAAATTTTAAATAGGGTGCTAGAGCTGGAGTTAAATTTTTAACTGGATGGTGATTTTGGGGTCTCTCCCAAGATATATTTGTGAGTTTCTGGATCATGGCTGTTAATGAGCTTGTATGGCGACAGAGGCAGTCAGGAAGCACAGGGAGATGGGAGAAGGTTTCCCACTCCCGACTACCTGAGAGCCTGGAGATTTCAGTCACAAAAGCCGTGTACCTGGGCTTTCCAGCAGATTCCTTCTCATGTGTGAGGGGCTTGTCTGGAGCCTGTGAAGGTCGACGATGAGCACAGCGGTGATTGGGTTCTAGAGGTTGTCAGCTGCCGGGGCTCTGTTGGGCAGCTCAGCTTGGCTGGGGGTCTCTGTGGGCCCCATTTCTAGAATTTTGTTACTTTCTAAGATTGTTACATTAGTGGAGCCATATAGTATATAATTGTTGCTATTGCTTTTATTTTCTCAGAAAAATTATCTGAAGAGTCACTGAAGTTGTTGCGTTCATTTCTCTGTTACTTTTTTTTTTTTAAATTGAATCACCTTGAGATACACAGCTACAAAATTGTTCATGAATGGGTTTCAGTCATATAATGTTCCAGCACCCATCCCTTCAGCAGTATACATTTCCCAACAATGTCCCCATGTCCCCAGTTTTCCTCCCTTCAGCCCCCCACCTACCCTCTATGACAGGCACTTCTCTCTCTCTCTCTCTCCCCCCTCCTCTTTCAACTGTCTCTCTCTCTGTCTCTCCCTCTCTCCTCTTTCACCTCTCTCTCTTCATTCACTGTGGTTTGCAGTACTGAGTGGTTGTCATGAATATCCTTTTACCTCCTTTCAGCACTCAGTTCTTGTCCAGAGTGATCATTTCCAGCTGTCATTGTCATAGTTGGCCCTTCTCTGTCCTAAGTGTCCTCCCTCTCCACACTTGTGACAAGCTTCCAACCATGGACCAGTCCTCCTGGCCCTCATTTTTACTGTCTTTTTCTTAGTCTCATACTATGTTTTTTTAAAATTTTCTTTTATGTTTTTCTTACTTTTAAATCACATTCCAGCGTTTGCATTTAACCATTCACCTATCATTTGCTTCCATATAGTCTGTTACACATAAACCTGATATAACTATTTAGGTATGTGTTCGTAGTGTGAAACCAAGTTTTGATGTCTCTGAGATATATAAATACCCAGAGGCCTAATTTCTAGTTTAGGTGTTTGCCACCTGTATAATTATTAAAGAAACTGTTGGAATTTTCCAGAGTGCATTCTTTCTAGCAATGTTTGTATGACAAGAGAGAAGAATGTAATTAAACAATGAAAAGGAGAGGTTTGTGTGTGTGTGTGTGTGTGTGTGTTTGTGTGTGTGGTCATGGGATAGTTGTGCATTTTTATTATGATGGTGATTACAGAAATCTAATCAGTGCATGTTAAATTGGTAAAATTCTAAAAAGGTTTATGAACAATGTCAGTTCTCTGGAGTTTGGGCGGGGGGGGGGGGGAGGGTTGCATCTGAGAGTGCTTGGAGGACCATGCAGTACTAGAGACTGAATCCAGGGTCCCTGCATGTAAATCATATCCTCCGGCACTCTGAGCCATCTCTTCACCCCTTTGTGTTTTGGTTTTGATGTTGTACTATCCATAGAGAAAGCTGGTTACCTTTGGAGAACTCTGGATGAAGGGCTTATGGAACCTTTGTATTTTTTGGGGGGAGGGGTCACACCCAGGCTGGAGCGATAGCACAGTGGTAGGGTGTTTGCCTTGCATGAGGCCGACCTGGCCCACCCAGGTTCTATTCTTCTGCCCCTCTCAGAGAGCCTGGCAAGCTACCAAGAGTGTCTCGCCTATACAGCAGTCTGGCAAGCTACCCGTGACGTATACGATATGCCAAACACAGCAACAAGTGTCACAACGGGGACGTTACTGGGTCCACTCGAGCAAATCGATGAACAATGGGAGTGACAGTGATAGTGACACACCCGGTGATGCACAGGGGTTACTCCTAACTTTACACTCAGGAATTACTCCTGGCTGTGCTCAGGGGACCATGTGGGATGCTGGGAATCGAACCCAGGTCGGCTGCTTGTAAAGCAAACGTCCTACCCGCTGTACTATGGCTCCAGCCCCCTTTATATTTCTTTTGTCACTCCCCATGGCTCTCATAATTACTTCCAAATAGCGAGCTTAAGAAAAAATCAATAACCAGGTGAAAGGTTCCCATTTGAACATTAAACAGTAGCAATAAAATAATTTTACCAAAACACTGGCATGAAAGAGGATGTGATCAGGATACCATAAAACGAGCTATTTCTAGAACAAGATGCCCAGCCTGGAGTTGGTGGTTGCTGCTTTAGGCTGAGCGGTGAGGGACCGCCACTCTTCTGCTGACTCTGCCAGTCACAGACATGTTTGCTCACACTCACTCTGATTTTGTTTTTCCACAAGTCTCCGAAAGAAGCTCTGGCTCAGTGTGTCTTGGCAGAGATCCCCCAGCAGGTGGTGGGCTACTTCAACACATACAAACTTCTTCCTCCCAAGAACCCAGCTACAAAGTAAGAGGAGCGGCGGCCGCCTGACTTCAGCCTTCTCTTGCACTGTGTGGAACAATGGATTCAACTCTTATTCCAAATAATGAAAGCTAGGATGTAAGCCTAGTTATCCAATCGATCCTATATATGTATAATATTATTTTTATACTCTTTTTGGGGGAGGAAAGTGCTAAGTGACTCTTTGCTCAATCAGTTCAACCAGTGATTGCTAAGAATTTAGATTAATTGCAGGGAGGCTATTAGGATAGAAGGTAGTGTCAAAAAAAACCCATTCTTATTCCTATAGTTTTTTTTATATGATAAAAATGCTGTTTTTGCAAACCTTTGTCTACAGAAAGAATGGGAAATTATTGGAATGGTGTGATTTATAGATTGTTACACTGAATTTGCTCTAGGGAATATGTTTTCCATTGTTTATACCTGGTTTTCAGTGCCTGTTAAGTTAGATGATACTGAATTTGTTGTCCTAACTGTATTCAGTACTTTTCTATGAAATAAAATTACCTTCTCTTGTACCTGGATTTTGCTGTGCACTTTACAAAATAGCATGCCATCGGACTCCAGGAAAGTACTAAATGAGAAGGAGAACAGATACTGAGTTCTTAAAATGTGTAATCAGTAAGTATAAGAAATCTCGTGGAAGTAAGCCATTTTCCTTTGTCTTTCTAGATCTTCTGTTTTCATTGCAGAGTACTGTATCATGGTCAGCTCCAACCTTTTCTTTAACTGTCTGTGATTCTCAGGATTCTGTAATTGCATAGATAATCAGTTGCCCTAGATTCAAAATTATTCATTATTAGCTGGAGTTCATTAAACAGTTCGGACTCATTGTCCAGGAAACTGAGAACCAAAATATAGGAGAAATTTAGAATTGTATATCTTCTCATTAATGGAAGACCTGTATTTTTTTTGTCTTCTTTTTTATATTTGCACGAACTAATAATATTCACTCTGACTGTATAAAAGAAAATTTGAATGGGAAATAGTCATGATTGACTTGAACCCATTCTCAATAGCAAATTAAGTAGACAAAAATGAACAGTGAATGTCAGTCAGTTTGTATAGAACACTATTCAACAAATACATATGTTTAAAGTAAGTTTCAATGGGCATCCTTTGATATCTAAGATCATAGGGGCTGGAGAGATAGTACAGCAAGCAGGGTGCTTGCCTTGCATGCAGCTGACCTGGGTTGATCCCTGGCACTTCGGGAGTCCCTTGAGCCCCTCCAGGAAAGATACCCAAACACAGAGTCAGGATGAGCAGACCTGTTATTTTTTAAGACAGATTTTATACTTTCCTTCCTAAGGTCCTATACATTGATTTGTAAATTTGTATAGATTCATTTAGATATACATATTTTTAAAGTTTTTTTAAGAGATAGCTTTTTTTTTTTCGGTCTTATTTCTAGGCTCTAGATATCTTTTGCATTTCTAAGGCAGAATGCATTATTTTAAGCATAAAACCTATTGTAAAAATTCTTATTGCTCCATTAGGGTCATGTGGACTTACATGCTTTATAAACAATAGATTTTATTTTACCCATCAGAACATAACATAATGGGGAGAGAAGGGGGAATTGCATTTTCAGAACACATTTAGTAACTTGTTATTGAGGACCTGTGTGCCAAGTAGTTTTCTTATCCATTATGTTGACCAATGACTTTTAAAGAGTTAACATTACAGGTTGCTTGTTTATCACATATCCTTAAATTGGCGTGCCCAGTGCCATGTTGATATGCTTTCAATATTATGGAAAAATCTTGCCACTTATGCCACTGCTCATGTCTCATGTGTTCTCAAATGTCTGAGGAATGTGAGCCGGAAGACCAAACATCTCTGGTTTCCAAGCAGAAGGTCATTGCCAAAGTCAGCCCTGGTTGCCTTACTCTGGTGAGACTCATCATCTTTCTACCTAGGTGACTCTGAATGTGTGCTCTTTACCTACAGGCCCCTGACTAGGGGTACCTTTGTGAGTAATGATCTGAGTATCTTTTTGAGTAGTAAGTTATGAGCTGTGAGACTGTCATACGTCTCGTTACTCACCATGCCATTTTTGATACTAGGGGAAAAGAAAATGGATCGTTCTTCCAATAGTTTGGAATCTTCATTGCCTCCTATATCCCAATTTTAATGTGTCCCTGTGTGCTTGGAAACAACATTTTGGTCTTGCTGTGCTTTTAAGAATTTTTTTTAAATGATTGGACCTTTAAAGGGGATATGGACATTTCTTGATACAGAAAATGGATGGAAGCAGAGCTTGTCTTGTTGGAGATTGGGACAAGTCCTGCTGACAGGACTTCCTCTTTAAATTCAACTCTTCTAGTACCTTCATCTCCCATGTGGGGACTTGCGAACCACAGTCAGGAGCATTTGTTGTTCTCATCAGCCAAATAATAATGCCTCTGTCACTACTGTCTGCTTGACTTGCCCTTCATAATTTTATATTCTGTTTTTCACCAGAACGTTTCCTTCTTAAGGTTATTATTATTCACCCCTGAGCAGGTTTATCAGTCAATGCTATTATCCATAAGAGCTGCAATTCCAGAAATTTAGAGTAATTGGCACCCATTCTGCAGTTTTGAATAAAACCTTTTACAAATCCCAATGATCATTTTATAAAATTCTTACAATCTCAACACTTGACTTCATCACATGCCAATTTAATATTGTTTCATATTCCTATAGCTCTACTCCTGTTGAACTATCGTTCATTCAAGTGCCATTTAAAAAAATGCATTTGAAGAAAAAAATAGCCAAGCCAACTTTCATGCTTCATGCAATGAGATATATTGCGAACATGTGTTGGAGTGGCCACACACTCACTAGAAAATATTTTTCACATATGCCTATTCTGAGAACATAGTATAGCATTTGGCTTGTTCCATCATCTTGCAGTTAGATTTATAAATGTAAGACTATAAGTTAGAGCCTGGCAAGCTCCCCGTGACGTATTCGATATGCCAAACACAGTAACAACAAAGTCTCCAATGGAGACATTACTGGGCCCTCTCGAGCAAATCGACAAACAACGGGAGGGCCTTTACTTTACTTACTTTACTTTAAGACTATATACATTTAAAATCAGACTTGAATTTTACAATTGTTCACTTTGCTAGTGCCTTAGGCAGCCTTTCAAGAGTAAATTCAGGATCCCATTGTCATTTATGTTGCATTTTGATATAGTTTTCTCTTTTGATTTTGTAAATTTTGTGGGAAGCTATCCTCAATAAGTGTCTCCTAGTATTTTTTATACGTGTAGTTAAAAGTTACAGAAGTGGCACATAATGTAAGCCAGAAGTTTGACTGAGATTATGAGAGACTATTTTGTGCTTTCATGGATGTCATGCTTGATAAGTGTATGTTACTAATATATGAATTGATGTTAAATATATTTTCCATTTGAAGTCCCTTTGGCTAAATCTGTTTCATAATATAATGCCATATGTCTTTGTTTTCATTTGTATTCTTTCTCTAAATGTAATTAAGACCAATAGAAAATCTACAAATAAAGTAAATATTATACTTTAAGTGGTTGTGTTCCGTATTTTACTAAACAATTTGGGACTTTATTATTTGGGGGATTTTATCGTTTTAAAACATGCCTTAAGGATACCTTTCTGAATGCAGAAGGGAAAGACGAATTTCAGCAACAAATAAGGGGAGGCCCTGAGAAATCTTGTGCTCATATTTTATTAGTCATGTCAGACAGAAGAGAACATTCACCTCACAGTTTCCAAATGCTTCTGTTATTCTGCAGGTATTTTAGAGCCTTTAGAGAGGGACACACAGTATTGCCCTGAGCATCAAATTATAGTGACTTAGTGTGTGATGTAAAAAACAGTAGAGAAAAGGAACAATGACCAGAATAAAATGGCTGAGAATTCTCACAGAATGGGTGAGAATATTTGATCACCACTCATCTGACAGAGGACTAATTAATATCCAAGATATATAAAACACTTGTAAAACTGAACAAGAAAAAAGAACCCTATCAAAAAAATGTGGAGAAGAGAACAGAAGCTTCTCCAAAGAAGACATGCAGGGGGTATGGTGCCGCCAGCAGGTCAGTCTGTATCTGTGAGGTGAGTGAAGCCTCATGGTGCCTTCAGACTTCCAGATACCCCAAAATCGCTGCTGTGCCTTTGGCCAGACCCCCAAAAACTTGGGGCAAAGTTTACCAAGAAAGTAAACGGCCAAAAGTTAGTTATGTGGGAAACATACCCACAAACCACCTCCGGCTCAGTTATATAATTGGAGGCAAGCTTTGGTTCCTGATTGAATTGCTTAATGGACATGATCCCAGAGACTCAGAAACGAATCTTGGAAACCAGCGACTTTAGGTAGAAATGTGTCCGGTCCCTGCAGTAGGTTACCAGTGCTGGGCCAACCCAGGTGGGAATAGGTTTCGTTCCTTGGCCTGTTCCCCCTGGCGGTCCACTGGCCGCCATCCTTCAGAGGCCACTGGACAGTCAGGTTTGGGCCCCCAGTGACGAGACACACAGGGCCTCATGGGTTGGGGGTGGAGCCGGGCTTGTCCTCCCCACCCTAACGAGACCCCAAGTCATCGCCCACGAATGGCCTCTCTGGCTCCTGATCAAGCTGCTTAACGGCCATGATCCCAGAGACTCAGAAACAAATCTCAAAACCCAGTGGCTTTTGGCAGAAATGCATCCGGACTCCACAGTACGTTACTGTCGCTGGGCCACCCCAGGGAGGAAAGGATGTTGTCCCTCCGCCTGCTCCCTCTTGGCGACTTGGTGGCTGTCATCCTCCAGAGGCCATTGGACAGTCAGACTTGGGCCCGCAGTGACGAAACTTGTTGGGCCTCACGGGATGGGGGGGGGGGGGGGGTGGAGCCGGGCCTGTCCTCCCCACCCCAACGAGACCCCAAGTCATCGCCCACGAATGGCCTCTCTGGCTCCTGATCAAGCTGCTCAACGACCTTGATCCCAGAGACTCAGAAACAAATCTCGAAACCCAGTGGCTATTGGCAGAAATGTGTCCGGACCCCACAGTAGGTTACTGTCACCGGGCCACCCCAGGGGGGAATGGATGCTGTCCCTCCGCCTGCTCCCTCTTGGCGACTTGGTGGCTATCATCCTCCAGAGGCCATTGGACAGTCAGGCTTGGACCTGCAGTAATGAAACTTGTTGGGCCTCATGGGATGGTGGGGGGGGGGGGAGTCGGGCCTATCCTCCCCACCCCAACGAGACCCCAAGTCATCACCCACGAACGGCCTCTCTGGCTCCTCATCAAGCTGCTCAACGGCCATGATCCCAGAGACTCAGGAGCAGATCTCTAAACTCAGTGGCTTTTGGCAGAAATCCCTCCAGATTTAAGTGTTAAAATTTCAGAATTTCAAAACCACATGGCCCTACTGCAGCCACACGACATCATATGTTATTCATAACCAGCAATAGAACACAAATTGTCTATTGTTGCCTTTTCAGCAGATCTGAGTGTTGGGGTAAAATCTCAAATAATGGTGGGTCTGGTGTCGAAATAGTGAATGTGATCAAAGTAGAGAGAGAGTAATGTAGAAATCATCTGCCCCACAGGCAGGGGGAGGGTGTGGGATGGGGGTATACTGGGATTTTTGGTGGTGGAGAATGGGCACTGGTGAAGGTATGGGTGTTTCATTGTATGACTGAGACTTAGACCCAAAAGCTTTGTAACTGCTCTCACGGTGATTCAATAAATAAAATTATAAAAAATGGGAAAAAAAAGTAAGGTGGAGTTCATGCACAATTCAATCAGCTAATCAGTGGCTGAATAAATAACAGTACTCCTACAAAAAAAAAGAAAAATACAGAAGACATACATGGCCAATAGGTATATGAAAAAAATTCTCTGCATCCCTTATCATCAAAGAAGTGCTAATATATATGCCAACACAGTAACAACAAGTCTCACAATGGAGATGTTACTGGGCCCGCTCGAGCAAATCGATGAACAACGGGAGGACAGTGATACAGTGATTACTTGTGATTAACAAGAGAATTTAAAAAGGGTAAAATTTTCCAGCAACTTTGAAGAGCTTACGACTTAATGTAGAAAAAGACATTCATAGGACATGAAGAGAAAAAAGGAATGAGCAACGTAAGGCAGTCTTCTATCCTTTGTGCTTAGGATAAAAGTATCTGAATAAAATATGGGACTTCTTTTATGTTTGTTTTGTTTGGGGGCCATACCTGCCAATGCTCAGGACTTACTCCTGGCTCTGTGGTCAGGTCTAACTCCTGGCGGTGCTCTGGGGACTGTATGTGGTACTGAGGGTTGAACTGGGGTTGACCACACATCAGGCAGACACCATAGCCTCTGTACTACCTCTTTGGCTCTTGATTCAACTCCTTAATCCCAACACTCGTTGCTGTCCGCTACCATCATGGAATACCTGGACTGGCCATGCTGCTCCCAAGAGACCCAGATTAGGAGCTTCACTGCCTAACCCAATGTACAGTCCAAATTCTAAGTACATCCTCTTGGTGGGAGAGGTTTTCCAGCTGGTTTGTTTTTGCTCTGTGAAATTAGAAAAACTACTATAGCATGGATAATGCTTACGAAAAGCTGGCTTATTTCTGCAAGAAAAAGGAACACAGATATGAGTGGAAGAAAACCAGGTGATGGGAAGGCAGCAAGATTATATTTTCAAGAGCCTCAGCAGGATAGTTTTCTGGTCCTGGGGTGGACCCAAGCTTCAATCTGGTACCTTGACCTTATAAAGTCATATGAGAGGGAAATAACTATTAGAATTTAGGTTTCTTTCCAGTCCCTTGAGAAAACACTGTAGAGATCCCTCAAAAAAAAAAAAAAGTCAGAATAGAGCTCCCATATGACCCAGTGATTCCACTTTGTGGCATCTACCCACACGGCACAAAAACGTTTGTTAGAAAAGATGCATGTACAACAACGTTCATTGCATCACTTTGCACAAGAGCTAGGCTATGAAAATAACCCAGGTGTCTAGTGGCAGAACGGAGTGGAGAATGAAGTTGTACATTTACACAATGGGTAATGGATAAAGGGTAGATAATGAAGCGTTACATATACACACTATGCAGCCACAAGAATTATGAATTATGCAATTCACTGTAACTTGGATGGAAATGGAGAATTTTACTTTAAGAGTAATCCAGAAGGACAAGAACAAATACTGAATGTTCCCCTAGTCTGTGGAACTTAGAATAACATAAATAGGGAAGGAAAGGTACCAATGTGGTCAAATCCTGGACTCTAGATTGCAGAAATGAAACTGCCAGGAAAGGAGAGAGATGAGAGAGGATGATGGAAAGGACAGAGATGGAAACAAAAGGAAGAGATCTGGAAGGAGCATGGAGCCAGAGTCGGGCCTTGGCATGTTCTGCTGTGATCCCAAACACAGATCTTGTTTGAGTTTTGTAAAAATGGTTTCTTGGAATAAGAAACCTTAGACTGCCTTTCAAGTTAAAGATTTTGAATATGAACAACAGAAGTTGGAAAGATTTGCAGATTAGAGGGATTGAAGGAGAACGGTGGGTGGAACTGTGTTATTAGAGGGAGTAAGCTGGATTGTGGACTGTAGCACTGTAGCATTGTCCTCCCATTGTTCATCAATTTGCTTGGGTGGGCACCAGTAATGTCTCTATTGTGAGACGTCTTGTTACTGTTTTTGGCATATTGAATATGCCACGGGGAGCTTGCCAGGCTCTGCCCTATGGAAGGGATACTCTCGGTTGCTTGCCGGACTCTCTGAGAGGGACGGAGGAATTGAACCCGGGCCGGCCGCATGCAAGGCAAACACCCTCCCGCAGTGCTATGCTCCAGCCCAGGTTGTGGGCTACTATTGGAAAATGGGAGAATAGAAATTGAGTCTAGGGATGGGCTATTATGAAGATAAGGGCTGAGGCAAAGTGAAGAGTAGGAATATTACAAGGAGGTTTAGAGAATGATGGCATCCAGTATCTCATCACCCCTACCCCCAGGCCAGTAAACCATCATGGTCATGGTCCTCCCATTGTACATCAATTTGCTAGAGTGGGCTCAATAACATCTCCATCATGAAACTTGTTACTGTGTTTGGCATATCAAATACGTCTCGGGGAGCTTGCCAAGCTTTGCCTTGCGGGTGAGATACTCTTGGTAGCTTGCAGGGCTCTCCGAGAGGGGTGGAGGAATCAAACCCATCAGGAGAAGAATATAACTGCGGAAAAGGCTAGAAAGATGCTGGACTCTTTTAAGGAGTCAAGTTCTCATTAGGAAAAAAAAACGCGAAGGAATTGTTCAGACAAGCTCTGGGGATAAAAGGATTTGTTAGTGAGTGACCTAGTTTTCAGGGATAGACTAGAAGATTGGGGGGAATTAGAAAGAAATGAGATGGCTGTTGTTACTGTTATTTTATTCCCGTGTTATTTATGAAGAATTGGGGCTGAGCTTCTTTTGGGGTTCTGCCCCCACAGAGACACTTTGTATTAGCCAAGCAAAGCACACAGAGCAGGGGAGCCAACAGAGACTTTTTTTTTTTTTGCTTTTTGG